GCCTTAACCCAGCAGGTGGCCTTGGAAGCTGAATTTAAAAGGGTGGAAAGGGAAGAGCAGTGTTTTGTTCGACTGCTATCTCACAAGTTTGAACCTGGGTGCTTTCTTGCTGCATTCAGCTGTTTGTGAGCTGTGCCCAGAGAGCAGAGGCAGAGTAGTGAAGGAGGCTGCTATTACTGAGGACTAGAGGAACCCTTGGGAGTGGCAAGACATTCGCTTAACACTGAGATACCTTTATATCCTATTTGGAGGCTTAGAGCGCAATACAAAGATCTTGGGATACATTGATAACTGACTCCTTCTCACAAACCACAAAGAACAAAAGAAAGAGTAAACTCAGTGCTTAACACAGTGCCTCCCACTTCAACCTAGTGGTGGAAACTGGTCTCCATCTCACTAGAGTGAACGATCCCTTGGGTGTCTAAGCAAGGGACCCAAACCCACTAAACTCTGTGGACAGAAGGTGAAGACATCAGGTCAAAGATAACACAACAGGCCCAAACTCCTCTTAGACAATACAGGACCAGAACAAATACTCCCCAGCTCTTCCAAGGATCATTCCTTTGGAACCCAAGTACACAGCTCATAATCGAGTTCCAGCACCTCTGGTCCTCAATAATGTATCCAGATGAGGAAGAACTAGTGAAAGACATCAGAAATCATGAAGGATCAGAGAGAAAAATCACCTCCAAAAGAAAATACTCATTCTCCACCAACTGACATCAACTTACATGATATGATTAAACAGAGGAAGAATTCCGAATATGGATTGTTAGAAAGCTCAACAGAATTGAAGAGAAAATAGAATCCTAACATAGAGAAACCACAAGAACAATCCAGGAAATGAATGAAAAATTCTCCAAAGATATAGATGTAATTCAGAGAAACCAAGCAGAAATTCTGGTAATGAAAGAAACATTCAAGGAACTCCATAATACAGTGGAAAGCCTCAAAAACAGGATAGATCATGGTTAGGAAAGAATCTCAGAGCTTGAAGATTATACCTACATGCTAAACAAATCAGAGGAAGAAAGAGTACACAGAAACAAGAGACAAGACCAAAGCTTACAGGAAGCGTGGGATTATGTAAAAAAAAAGTCGAATCTCAGATTCACTGGGATTCCAGAAGGGGAAGACGAACATTCACAAGGGTTGGAAAATTTATTTTATGGCATACTGGAGGAAACTATGCCGGGCCTAGCCAGAAATCTGGATATCCAAATACAAGAAGCACACAAAACTCCTGGGAGACACAATGTGAATAGGCAATCGCCTCGTCATGTGGTTATTAAGCTGACCAAAGTAAATGTGAAAGAAGCAATCCTCCATACACCAAGGCGAAACAACAAATAACCTGCAAAGGAAAGCCTATCAGACTAACAGCAGACTTCTCATCTGAAATCTTACAAGCCAGGAAGGAGTAGGTGGCTATCCTTAATCTTCTAAAACAGAACAAATCCCAACCTAGAATTCTTCATCCAGCAAAATTAAGTTTCATCTATGAGGGTGGAAATAAAATCCTCCTCAGACAAGCAACCACTGAAGGAATATGCAAAGACCACACCAGCCCTACAGGAAATTCTCAGACCTGCCTTCCACAGTGAACAGGGCAATAGACACTCTTCAAAATAAAATCTTCAAAGAATTAAAGTCTAGACCTCGACCTTCATGATGGCTCAAGGTCTAAGACAAAGCAACAGGACTTCACCCATCAATATGAACGGAAATTTTCCTCCAATTTCAATCCTCTGAATAAATGTAAATGGTTTAAACTGTCCTCTGAAGAGACACAAACTGGCAGAGTGGATAAAATTCCACAAGCCCAGTATTTGCTGTCTACAGGAAACACATCTAAACCATAAAGATGCCTCCAGGCTGAAGATCAAAGGATGGAAAACTATCATCCAGGCAAATGGAAGTCAAAATAAAGCAGGGGTAGCTATATTATTCGCAGACAACATTAGATTTAAATTAGCAAAAGTAAAAAAAGGATAAAGATGGCCACTTTATAATGGTGAAAAGGAAGATCCAACAAGAAGATCTAACAATTCTTATTATTTATGCACCCAATGCAGGAGCACCCAATTACATAAAGAAATCTTGTCCGAGCTAAATACCACTTTAAACAATACTGCCATAGTAGCAGGGGACTTCAACACACCACTAAATGAACTCGATAGATCCTCCAAACAGAAATTAAGTAAAGAAATAAGGGACTTAAACAAAGCTTTGGACCAAAAAGGTATGACAGATCTATACAAAATATTCCACCCAAATAAAATTGAATTTACGTTCTTCTCAGCAGCCCATGGATCCTTCTCCAAAATTGATCACATACTAGGCTGCAAAGCAGATTTCAAAAAATTCAAAAACATAAAAATAATACCATGTGTCTTCTCTGACCATAGTGGTATAAAATTAGAGTTCAATTCTAACAGAAATACACACCACATCACTAAGTCATGGAAACTCAACAATTCACTGTTGAATAACTATTGGGTCAAGGAAGAAATTCAGAGGGAAATCAAGAATTTCTTCGAACAAAACAACAATGGAGCCACATCTTACCAAAACCTCTGGGATACAGAAAAAGCATATCTGAGAGGAAAACTAATAGCAATAAATGCTCACATCCAAAAAACAGAAAGATTAGACAATGACAACCTAATGAATAAACTCAAGGAATTAGAAAAAGAAGAGCAAACCAATTCCAATCCTAGCAGAAGAAAAGAGATATCTAAGATCAAAGCTCAACTAAATGAAATGGAGAATGAGAGAATTATATGGAAGATCAACAAAACCAGAAGCTGATTTTTCAAAAAGATCAACAAAATTGATGGCCCTCTGGCTAGGCTGACAAGAACTCAAAGGGAAAGGGCTCTAATAAACTCAATAAGAAATGAAAAAGGAGAAATCACAACAGACTCCACAGAAATACAAAAAATTATGTTTTTCTACTATAGAAATCTATATGCCCAAAAACTACAGAATGAAGATGAAATGGACAGATTCCTGGACTCATACAACCTCCCTAAGTTCACCCAGGAGGTAACTGAGTTCTTAAACAGACCAATTACAAGCTCAGAAATTGAAGCAGTAATTAAAAACCTCCCCAAATGGAAAAGTCCCGGGCCAGATGGCTACACTTCAGAGTTCTACCAAACATACAAAGATGAACTCATACCTATACTACAGAAACTATTCCACACCATTGAGAAGGATAATATTCTTCCTAACTCATTCTACGAAGCCAATATCACCTTGATACCAAAGCCAGGAAAGGATGCAACAAAAAAAAGAAAATTACAGACCAATATCACTTATGAATATAGATGCAAAAATCCTAAATAAGATTTTAGCAAATAGAATTCAGCAGCACATCAAAAAAATAATTCACCATGACCAAGTGGGATTTATTCCTGGGATGCAAGGCTAGTTCAACAAATGCAAGTCTATAAAAGCAATTCACTTTATAAATAAAATCAGGAATAAAGACCATATGATTCTGTCAATAGATGCAGAAAAAGTATTTGACAAAGTCCATCATACCTTTATGATAAAACAAAATAGGCATAGACAGCACATAACTTAAATTTATCAAATCCATTTATGACAAACCAACTGCTAATATTATAAATGTGGAAATGCTGAAATCATTCCCTCTTCGAACTGGAACTAGACAAGGATGCCCACTTTCTTCCCTCCTATTCAACATAGTGTTTGAAGTCCTAGCTATAGCAATCAGGCAAGAGAGGGGTATTAAGGGCATCCAAGTCAGAGCAGATGAAATCAAACTCTCACTCTTCGCCGATGATATGATATTATATCTAGAAAACCCCATGGATTCATCCAAGAGACTCCTAGATTTGATAAATAAATTCGGTAAAGTTTCAGGGTATAAAATCAATACACACAAATCAGAAGCATTCACATATGCCAAGAACCATCAAGCAGAAATTCAAATCAAAAACGCAATACCCTTTACTATAGCCCCAAAGAAAATTAAATACCTAGGAGTATACTTAATGAGAGATACAAAAGATTTATACAAGGAGAACTACGAAACACTAAAAAAAGAAATTGCAGATGATTTAAACAGATGGAAAAATCTACCATGTTCATGGATTGGTAGAATCGATATTGTTAAAATGTCAATATTACCTAAGGTGATCTACAGAATCAATCCAATCCCCATCAAAATACCACCAGAATTCTTTATAGATCTAGAAAAAATAATTCTTCACTTTGTATGGAACCAGAGAAAACCACATATAGCCAAAGCAATCTTAAGTAAACAGAACAAACTGGGAGGCATCAGTCTTCCTGACTTCAAGCTGTACTATAAAGCAATAATAGTTAAATCTGCTTGGCATTGGCACAAGAACAGAAGCATTGATATCTGGAATAGATCTGAGATTCCAGAGATGAAATCATCTGTGTACGGTAACCTAATCTTTGATAAAGCAGACAAAAATATACTATGGGGAAAAGATTCTCTCTTCAATAAATGGTGCTGGGGAAACTGATTAGCGACATGCAGAAGAGCGAATCAGGATCCCTACCTCTCACAAAAATTCACTCAAGATGGATAACAGACCTAAACCTAAGGCATGAAACTTTAAGAATCCTAGAAGAAGATGTTGGGAAAACCCTATCAGATATTGGTCTAGGCAAAGAATTTAAGAGGAAGACCTCCAAGGCAATCACCGCCACATCAAAAATAAACAAATAGGATCTGATCAAATTAAAAAGTTTCTGCACTGCCAAGGAAACGATCATCAGAGCAAATAGACAACCCACAGAGTGGAAGAAAATACTCGCTCTCTACATTTCTGATAAATGTCTAATAACAAGAATCTATCTAGAACTTAAAAGAATAAACAAGAAAAAATCAAACAACCCCATCAACAAATAGGCAATGGAAATGAATAGAAACTTCTCCAAAGAAGACAGAATAATGGCCTGCAAACATATAAAAAAATGTTCAACATCTCTAATCATTAGAGAAATGCAAATCAAAACCACAATGAGATACCACCTAACCCCAGTGAGAATGGCCTATCAGGGGCGCCTGGGGTGCTGCAGCACCACTCACAATCACGACTCACTGTAGAACAGAAAGGAAACTGCACTTGTCTCCCAGGGCTCTTGCAGGACACACAGCATACTGTCTGTATTCTTCCAGCACCTACACTACTGCCTGGCACACAGGGGCTGGGAAACGAGTCCCGCAATTACTAGCATTAGGCAGAGCCTCATTCTTGAAGCTTCCCAGAGGCCCTGCTGGGGGAGGGTTGTAGTGTGAAGGGCAGCTGAGGCTCCGCCGGACTCAGACTTTCAGAAGATGATCTGGCTGCACATGAGCAACGGATGGGTGCCTGGGTGGCAGAGGGACAGCCAGGTGGGAGATGCTGCCACCTCAACAGGCTGGGCACAGAGGACAGTGCGGGAAGTGGTGCCATCTCAGGGTGGCTGGCTAGCAGCTGGCTGAGACCCCCCCACTGGTTCACCCTGGCTCCTTCCCTGCTGCAGACCTGAGCCCTGTGCTGGACACCCCACCAGAGGGCTGGAAACCAGCAAGTCCTGAAAGTGAGGCAGAAACCAGTGGACGAACTGCACTGGCTCAGAAGCTCCCCAGGAAGGACTTTCACACAGACGGGCCTGTGTCACGTCAGAGGGTGTGGCCTGTGCCTTGCACTGTCAGGGACGAGGGCCCACATGGGGATGTGTGATAGCTACTGACAGAAACGCTGTAGACAATAGGTGGTACCCAGAACTTTCCTGATCCTCACAGTGTTTGAAGCCTGTTTCTGCACATGCCCCATTCTCGGGAGCGAACGGGTGTGCGTGCAGGTGGGGATGTGTTCTATCTCCCCCTTTTCACCTAAGCAATATGGCGGGTTGAACTCCCCATCTCATCTCATCCTCCCAGAGAGGGAATACCCACGCACTCCGGCCACGGCCTCCCCGAGGGCAGCCTGTGCTTTGTCACTCCTCAGCATTGGGCCCCGCCCTGTCTTGCATCGGCCAAGAGGATGTGAGCGCCATGACTCAAGCAGAGGCCTGAGATGCGCTTGTGTTTGGGGCCTGCCCTCTTATGCTCTAGGCAGAGCCACAAAGAAGCCTGCTCTGGGCAGCCTGGCAGCCTCGACAGAGAAACAGCCTGGCTGGAATCAAACCTGTAGCCCCGCCCACCCCAGCCAACTGCAGGCTGTGACCGAGACACAGATGCTTGTCTGCCACTGAGAGCTGGTTACTAGCGATGGCTGACCAGGAACATAGCCGTAAACCTCGCTCGCGCAGCACTGCGTCCTGCCAGGCAGCATGCTGGCCACTTTCCATGTAACTCAGACGCCAACCCTAAGACACAGACATTGCCAGCTCTGTTTCACAGCAGGTGAAAACCCCTGTCCAAGGTCATGGCCAGCACGAGCAACAGCCCAGAATCCAGGCTTGTCTGCCTCCAAAGCCCATGCCTGCGCCACAGCGGACCCCACTCCTGGGGACTATGCCTTGGATGAGCAAAGCCCATCGCTTTAATCCAGGACTCTGTTTTCTTCAACACACGTTGCACAGGCTTGCCCGTCTCTTCCAAATTGTGACTGAGCTGTTCATCTGTGGACACCAAAGGAGCCAGCGCTGCAGACGACTGGGACAGCCTCCTCAAAGGGAGGCCCAGGGAGACCCCCTGCCCACTGCCAATACTGCATGCTGTACCCCATGGTCGCTCCGCGATCACCTGCTAACTGTGAGAAGTCATGTGCCGGGAGAGATGGTGGCGCTCCCGGAAGTGCTCTTGACACACGGGGCAGGTGAGGGCCTCTTCTCTCCGCTTCTTAGAATGCGGGTCTGGCCCTGTGGGCTCCTTTTTGTGGTGGGACCGCATGTGGAAGACCAGGTCGGACGTCAGGCGGAAGGAGAGGTTGCACTTTGCACACCAGTTCTGGGTGGACAAACCCAGGGAGGTGAGGGTGGGTGGCAGGAGGGCCCATGAAGTGGGGGAAGAAGACAAGGGTGTCAGTGCCTGGGCCTGCGTGTGGTCCAGTGACAGCCTAGGGGCACCCAGGAAAGCGCTGCAGAATGGAGCATTTTGTGGCAACATTTGCAAGTTCCAGAAATCACTGATCAAAAGTTTGGGAGTTGAAAGTCGACCCCAACAAGAGGTGTCTGCAGTGTTGATGAGTCCAGACAGCTCACCCAGGGCATCTGCAGATTCACCTGCGGGGAAGACAGGGGTTGGCCCAGGCCTTTCTGCTGCTCGCTTGGTTGGCTTGCTGAAGGCGCTTCTCTGCTCCCCTCGGCTTCTACTGGGCCACACAGACAAGACTATGCTGCTAACTGGGTCCCTGGGGACATCCTGGATCAGCTGTGCGGGGCCAGGCTGGTCTGCAGGGTCATCCTGCCCCCTCTCCTGGGCCTGACCGCCCGCCAGCCTCTCCTCGAGCCTCGGCAGCTCCGTGAAGGCGCTCTGCCTTTGCTCCCCACATGCCTTCTGGGGCAGCGGCTTGCCCAGGCTGGGTGTGCCCACTGCCACCGACAGCGCCAGCGCAGCACAGGCGGCATCCCGCAGCCCCCTGCCCACAGCAGCCTCGCAGCCCAGGCGGTTCGTTTTCTGGAGCAGCACCGGCTTGCGGCCCTGGCCCTGCTCAGGTTCACTGAGCTTCCATCTGTCTGCAGCCGACAGGCCCAGCGGGGCCCCCTTCTCAGCAGCCATGCTGGGCCGTGGGCCCGGGCCACGGGAGACTCTCCAGCCCCACCAGTGTTCAGGGCTCTGAGGTTCCTCAGGGCTTGGCCAAGGGAGAAGCCAGGAGATGGGAGAGCTCGCCGGGATGGCTGGGCCAGACACACTCGGCCACGGGCCCTGCAGAGAGAGGAAGCGACAAGCAGTAAGACAGGCATTCACTGCCACACGGGCAAACACATCCTCAGGCTGGCATCTGAGAAGCTACCTGATGCTCTGGCCTCCTTTGCCTCTGTGGAATGGGAGCACCGACCACACTGCCTCCAAGGAGAGGGGCATTTGGACAGCACTGGACTCCAGAGCCTACCCCCAGTGGCAGGCCTGGGGACAGAGGTCACTGTTGAAAACACCCGGGAGCAGCAGCCCCTGGTCGCAGGATCCCCTGGCAGAAACGGCTGAGAAAGTGAGAGGCTGGAGGGAAGGGAAGAGCCTGCTCTGGGGACAGCGCGCAGCCCCCAGGGCCCTGCAGGACCTTCTGGATCGTCTGTCCGTGCGCAGCCACAAATGCGAGGAAGCCGTGTGCTCACCCTGTGGTCCTCGCTGAGTGTGGAGGACACCAGGAGGCCACAGCACCAGGGGGTCGCAGCACTGGAGGACTGTGCACGTCACAGTCCCTGCTCCTCACAGTACCCTTCTCTGTCCTTGCTCTGGCTTCAAGCTTCTGCTCCTCAGGCTGCCGTGTCCTTGCAGGCAAGCAGCCCTTTTGATGGCTTCACACCCCACCAGCTTCCACGTGGTCTCCTTCCACTTGCTCCAAGCCAGGCTTGCTGTGAGAGCCTTATGTCCCACGCTGCCCCTTGCTGCCGTCCCAGCCCCTTGCTATCAGGCAGTGGCCCCCCCTTGGTGGCCCGGGACACCCAGCAGTGGCCACTTCTCAGGCTTATGCATTTGCCCAGCCAAGCTTCCCAGGGTTACCAAGACACCCGCGTGTGTTGTCTCAGGCCTCAGTGTGCACAGAGTGCTCAGAGTGCAGCAGACAGCTGCACTCCCCTCGGACCTGTGAACACCGGCTCATTCCACAGTGGGGCTCAGGCACAGCCTCCTCCCTGAGGACCCCCAGATCCTCTCTGGCACAGACGGCACTCCCTCCTGCCCACCACTGCTGTCCTGGGCACCAAAGGCTCACACGCAGGCGTGGCAGGGAGGTGGCTACCTGCAGTGGAGGGGCACCCCTGGATTTCCAACTGTGACACAGATTGAAAGGCGAGGCCAAACCCAGGGTCTCCAGCCTCTTCCCGTTCCTTCGTCTCCCCCTGGCTCTAGTGCTGCCCCCACGAGAACCCGCCTGGTTCTTCCTTGGGGAAGTAGCAGAGCGGTTCGCCATTTGAACTCACTGAGAAGAAAGCTGATTGGTCTGTGGGTGCCAAGGTCACTGTGCCGGTGGGAAGCCCAGCGAGCTCGGGCTCTCAATGTGCCCTTCCTTCAGGTGCTGGATGGGCCGCCCTGAGGAGGGTCAGAACTGCCTGATGGGAGAACAGAACAAAGATGTTCACCACATTGTTTATGGTGGAGAAAAACAGTAAACGCCTAAATGCCTAACTACAAGAACTGGCAAATAGAGTATGATGCATACCCAACACAAAACACTATGCAGCCTTGGACAGTGGCATGTGCTATGCTTACAATATAATGTTGAGGAGGAAAAAGGACAAAAAGATTATATATTTGGTATCATCTATTCTATGAAAAAATACATAAGCCAAAGGAATACCCTGGGGAAAAACATAAAGATTACTAGGTCATATTCTTCACTGGCTGACTCGCTGGGCCTGTGCTAGGTGGCATAGCAACAGAGACGACAAGGCCAGAGCACAGGGACCTGCACATGCGTGCGCGCCACACACCAGCAAGCGCGGCGTCCGAGCAGAACCCGAGACCCAGCAGGGCAGACAGGGCTCACGGAAGGTGGGGCTGTGGCAGGAGGACGCGCACCACCGTGGGGTGGCCGCTGGGCGACACTGAGCCAGCCAAGTGCAGGCCTGCGGGTGCCGGCTCCCTCCGGCCGGGACCGCCCACGGTGGCCACTTCTCAGGCCTGTGCCTTCCTGCCCAGCCAAGCAAGACCTGATTGTTTTTATAAACAAATGATTCATTTTTAAAGTATGGCTATAAAAACTATGCAACAGTGTGGAAGAAAGCTTACAGTGTCGTGTTGAGCAAAGTGTTAGATACAAATCAACAGTAAAACAGACAGGGTTGGGGGCAACGGTGGGCTCTCCCTTCCACTGGCACAGTTCTGGGGTGTGGCTAGGCACTGCTCCAAGGCTTTTCTGTTTCTGACTGTGGAGCATACAGATTTGGTTGTCCGTCCCTTCTGGAAATCCTACAAACTATCTAATATCCTGTAATAAACCTCTTTCTGATTAATTTTTTTTTAAAAAAAAGCTATAGAAAAAAGCTCTATCCACCAAAAAACATTCAAAACATACTAAAACTATATATAAGAAAATATACATATGTATATATGCCATAATATACCCTATACTATACAATAGCATGTATATAATATACCATATGCTGTAAACTGTATATATACTATATACACTACGGTGATGTTAGTATTATGGAATTTAGGATGATGGTTTTCTCTTTCTATTTTCCAATATTTTAACACCATGCTGGTCTTATTTTAATGTTTTGTTTTGTTAAGCAGTTGATTGCTTTAAAACAGGGCAATGCCCTCCTTGGCTTGGTCTGGCTGGAACTCTGCGACGCTGTCTTCACAAGCCGGGGGAGCTGCCCCGCCTGCTCTGGGAAGTAACTCTGCAGTAGTCCCTCCCCTACTCTGCCTTGGAAAGAGAAGTCCTGGCTCCTACTCTGGAGGCTGCAAGGAGCCCAGGGCCTGCAAGACAGAACAGGGGCCCTCCTGCTGCTGCAGAGCGCACTGTTGTGGAGGTTCAGGGTCTGTCTCACGCCGCCTGGAGAGACCTGGCCTCCACCCAGCTGTGACTGGCATCTGCACAAGCATGCCCAGAGCCACAGGGACAAAGGGGGATCTTTAGAAGAAGGGAGGAAATGCCTGAGCACGCGGGTCACATCAGCCTTTGAGCAAAGTGTGTTTCATTTTCTGTTCATTCATTCATTCAATAACACGAACAGGCACCTACTATATTCAGGCTCCAGTCTACATAAAACTGGTGGCTCTCACATGGAGGGAATTCTAAGTAGCTAAAAAATGGCTGGAGGGGAGGGTGAGACAGGAAATCAAACACTGGTGCAGCCTGGCCTAGGACGAGACCACTGGTGCGGGATGCAGAGCAGGAGGCCCAAAGAGAGCGTCAGTCCTAGACTCAGTCCCGAGACAGCAGCCCCTGGCTGTGCCCACGCTGGATGCAGGATAGGAAATGGTGATGGAGGGTGGAGGACAGAGCACATCCTCAGGCATCTGGCCAAGGACTCAGCTGGCCATGCTCAGAGGAAGGACATCGACCTGCCTGCCCTCCCTAGCCTGCCCCGCTGTGCCCCGGCCTGTCTCCAGTGACATGTGGCCAGGTCTTTTCTGGAAGCTTAGGGCTCCTATGCTTTCTATGTGTGGGCAAAACAGAGCCCGGCATGCAGCATGAGTCAAGAAAAACAGAAAAAAGAATGATAAAACAGCAAGTGCATAAAGCTACCTAGCTCTAAACCTCCTTCCACCTCTATCACTGTCCCCCAATTCCTCTGGGGCTCATGAAAATTCCTGAAAAAGCATGAGAAACCTTTGCAAATAAAGTTAGGGTCACATGCAAATAAAAGACCAGGCCAGATAAAGAAAAATACCAAAGATGCCAGGAGGGCCCTGACCTCCCCAGGGAGGCGGCCCTTGGCCTGCGGGCGAGAGGAGCACACTCCCCTGGCAGCCCCTAAGGGGGTCAGACCTCACATGTGTCCAGGGCTCCTTGGTGGCGGGAGGGTGGGGCCAAGGCTGCCTCCACCTGCTCTGGAATCAGGTACCTGCCACGCGGTGTCAGTGCTGGTGTGAGAAAGCAGGGCAAGGCCACACCCACAGCACAGAGCTCCGGAGCTCGCTCTGTGCCTCAGCAAGAACCAAGAGGCAAAATGACACAGAAAGGCACAGTGAAGAGTGGGAAGGATGTGGATGTGAATCTCATCTCCATGCATGTGCTGGGGAGCTTCAGGCATGAGACATACAAGCCCCCTGAGTGCCTATGGGTCATGGCAGGAAATTAACTATTTGAGCAGTACAATACTGTCTATACGGAGCCGCGTACCATGCCCAGCCACGGCAGTCCCCAGGCAATGCTCACTCCTTCCTCTGTGGCCAAAGGGCAGGAACACAATGAGGGGCCTGGAGAAGTAAAAAGAGAGTGCCCCGTGCAGTGCAGCCCCACGCTGGGGAAGACAAAGTCTTCTGCAGTCACAGGAGCACCCTTGTCCCTGAGATCCTTGGAGTCTCAGGGATATATAATGTGCTACCTTCTTAATTGAATAAAGGGGCCAGTGCGGTGTGCAAGGGATGGCCCGCCAGGCCTTGCCCACGTACCCTCAGGGAACACCAAACAAACATTCAGGTCTCAGGTGCTCCACTCACCTGCGCTGCATTCTTGCACCTTCACCACATGCCTAAATGTACTGTCAAATCAAGCCGGAATTTACGACAAAGCAAAATAACAAGAAAAGCTTGCTGAGAAGCAGCAAGCAACAGTTAAGGCTCTTGGTTTTGAGTCTCAGTTTAAGCACTTAGAGATGGCCTTGGGCAGGTCCTTGGGAGACCTCATTCACTACAAAATGAGGAGGTCAGGCTGGATGGCCTCTATGGTTTTAAGTACCACAGGGCTCCACATGATTCCTTTATGTGGCATCATGATGCACCTCTTGTGATCAGTCTGTTTTTTGGGAGGTTTTCTTGACCAGCTAATGGGCAAAAAATAGAACAAATGAATGATCCAGGGAAGATCTGGTAATAGCCACGCCACAGTGGGATGTTTCTGTCAAGCACACCCAAAGTTGTTCTTTTAATGTCCATGAACCTTCAAATGCAAGCACGACTCTGGACTCCTTCTGACAGAGGTGAATTAATAGGCCCCTGTGAGCAGATTTCTGGTTACTGTGACACTTCATAGTGATTTCTAGCATCTCTCAGGTTCTAGCAATCAGAGCTTCCCAGCTGGAGACGACGGCCTCTACTCCAAGCAGTTTAAGCCCAAAGGAATTTATTATAGGGTGTTGTGTGGCTCATAAAATCTCTAGGAGAGCCAGAGACCAAGCTCGAGTGCCCTCCTAGGGTCACCATAGCCAGAAAAACATCTAACCCTGCTCTGGCACTGTCTAGGAGACAGCACCCATCAAGGGACCAAATTCTGTGACCCCACAAGACCAGATACCCCTGCCCCCATGGCTGCCAGAAGATCTCGCCTGCCCACCAAAGACTTCACCTCACAGGACTCGCCTCCACAGCCAGGGCCAGCTGGTGTGAGTGGCGCTGGGCAGGGCCCGTGTCGAAGGGCTCCCTGGTGGCAGGGAGTCTGGGCAATGCAGGTCCAGCTTTCCAACCTTGACAGTGCAGGGACCCAGTGAGATGGGGCTAGACCGCTGCTGACTGAACCAGTGACAGCATCTGTCACTGTGGCACTTGACAAAGCCCGCCCCACCAGGAGGCTGAGAAGACACAGCCATGCAACTCTGTCTGGAAGGCTTTCTTCCCTGCCCGCAACTTTAAGACAGAAAGGTTTGCTCAGCATGTGGCCAGTGCTGTGTTGGAGCCAGCCCACAGTGGCTTGTGAGGTTTTCAGGAGCAATGTGAGCTAGCTGTTTCAGCACAGACTTACAGTCAAGTGACTTATATGAAAAACAAAGGCAATAAACACTCAAAATTCCTCTCTTCCTGATTATTCTACTACATTTCACTATGACCTTGGACATGACTCCATGGACCGTGTCTCCCTGGTGGCAGCAGGGGCTCGCTGCCATGCACCTCTTCCTAACTGCACAACCAGTGACATGTTCAGTAGCATGAAGTCAGCCACGGTGGGAGAATTCACGGCAAATGCTATATATCAGGCCTTCATTTCTTGCTTTGTTGATTATCTGGACTTAAGAAGTGATGGAAAAAAATGTCAATAATTCAGATTAAACTGAAAATTGTGTCTTGTCTACAGCTATTACATTGTGAACAGCACACAAATTAAGGGACTATTCCTCCAAAACTCGGATTTAGCAAACAGGTCACTCAAATCACTCATAAGTGAGGTTCTGACATACATTCATTGTTCCACCTTCATCTTACACTTTATTATAAATGAAACCATCACCCAAAATTCGTGTTGGAGCCACATGCTGAGAGCAAGTTGTTAAACATTTACCAGCACATCACAACATGGGCCCCAAATACCTCTGAGTGCTGGGCACTGGAATAGTCAGAGAGACCCTTCCGGACAGGGAGGAAGGCCTCCAAAGGGCAGGCAGGAAGAGGAAGAGAAAAGAGAGGGCAGAGGGAACTGCATTAGCTAATGCCAGGCAGTGACAAGACTGGGCTAGAAGTAAATCAGGAGTGTTTTGTAAGGACTGTTTATGGAGAGTAAGATCAAGTGGTCCAGCTACAGGGACCTACACCATAGCTCTTAGCGATGATAATCCCTCATTTATTCAACAAGTGCGAATCTTGGCTGGCCCTGGAGATGCTCCACGTGCAGTAAGAAAGGAAAATACTTCATTGTAATAGGACCCAGGATAGAGAAAGGACTGCATTAGTGGTGAGGAGAGAATGCTGCAGGGTCAGGGATGGACAGTCACCGACCATGTGCTATCTGGGGGACCTGAGGAGTGCCCCTCCATTGAGGAGGTGATATTAGCTCTGGGTGTTGATGGATGATTGGGAGTTCACCAAGTGGGGATGAGAAAATGGCACAGGCAAAGCTCTGGTGGCAAAGAAGGGCTGGGCAATGCCAGCAACAAGGAAAAGGCAAAAGACAGGCACTCCGCAAGACAGAGAGCTCCGCCCGCCCGCTCCCATAAATACTGACTTTCTACTCACACTAGCCAGGTCAGACCCCACATGAAATCCAGCCCCACTGGGTAAGGTAGGGGAGGGGGAGGAACAGGGTCACAGTCGGAGCTGGATTTGCACAACTCCTTTCTCTGAAGAGCTCTGGACTTGACACCCAGTAACATCTGCGTCCTCTAGCTAGCCTTGAAAGCACCTGCCCCTCTGCCCTCTGCCCCAGTCACAGCTCAGATGGGGCTGACGCAGTCACACTACGTCCAGCCTCCTGCAGACAGCAGGGCCCACAGAACAGGGACTAAGCCCAAGGTGCTCAGTGACTCCCAGTGCAGACTCCACAGGGACCACACCCACACTTCTGGGGCCCATGGCCAGACTCACGCTCAGAGGTGACTTCCTTCGCCCAGCGGAAACCATAATCCAGTGTTGCTTCCTTCCAGAGCTTGCAGCTTCACCCTGTGTAGACTTCCGGGGACCCTCAGAGGCCAAGTGGAAGGAAGAGGCTGCTTACTCCAAACACCATCGGGGCCGCTACGCCAAGGCTTGGGGTGCAGGGCCACCTTCGGCAGCTACACCAAGGCTTGGGGTGCAGGACTACCTTCAGCAGCCTGCCCTGGCCATGCTCGATGTCGCCCCTGCCACCCAGCTGGACTCTCCACCCCTGTAGAGACCATGTCCATGTGTGATCGACCTTGGTGGCCCCCACAAGGCACCCTGGGGGACATGTAGAAGACTCTCAGGAAGTGTGCGCTACACTGAATGGCCCCTGGTGCCCGAGTTCTTAACTGGTTGATGGGAAGGAAGATTACATGACGTCTATGACCACGCACGGAGCAGACATCAGATGGTTTTGTCTGGTGCTGCCCTGTCTAACCAAAGCCAGTTTCACTTTAGGAAATTGCCTATGTGTTCATGCTACTGGGATTCTCTGAAGCAGCTCAATCCCTGTCTTTATTGGGGGGATGGGGCACATGTGGAGACAGGGTCTTGCTCTGTTGCCCGGACTAGAGTGCAGTGGCATCATCATGACTCACTGCAGCTTCCAACTCCTAGACTCAGGCAATCCTCCTGCCTCAGCCTCCAAGTAGCTGGGACTACAGGTGCATACCATCAGGCCCAGCTACTTTTTTATGTGTGGTAGAGATGAGGTCTCGCTATTGCCCAGGCTGGTCCTGAAATCCTAAACTCAGGTGATCCTCCTGCTTTGGTCTCCCAGAGTGCCAGGACTGCAGGTGTGAGCCACTGTGCCCAACCCAATCCCTGTTCTTTTTGAGCTTAAGTTCTCCAGTGCTCCCTCTGAAGCTGTGATCTGACCCCACACACCTCACCACACCCCTGCTGTAACTTTCTAATTAATTCTTGCTTGGCTAAGTTGACTGGAGTTGGTTTTTTAGCTCATCTGCAAAGAAGCCTGCTTGCTACAGAGGCCATAACTAGTTCACCCCAATTTGGAGCGCTATACCTCCAGAGCTCTACCTGGAAGCAATGATAACGCCACATACATACACATACACACACACCACACAAACACACACACACACACACACACGGACTGCCACCCAGAGGCACCTGCTCAGCCCTGCCCCTGCACCTATCAGCATCCAGGCAGCAGCCACCACATTAACAGAGCACAAAGGGCCCCTCCTGCCAGCTCTGACCCAGTTAAGGGCAGTTTTCTTTCCCTGCCGGTTGGCTTGCTAATTCTCTCCTGACCCTCAGCAGCGCCAGGCCACTGCAGGCTCTGCAAGCACAGGTGGTCAGAGAGACAAGAGCCTGGAGCAATAAAACACCCAGGCCTGACAGGGTGCATCTGAGCTATGTCTGGCCCCGGACCCATGCAGAAGCAGCCACCTCTTCACCTGGACCCGCCCCTGGAGCAAGTGCGGGTGTTGGTTCTCTCCACACGGGAATCTACTCAAGTCGCCTCTGCTGGCAAATGTCTGCCAACTGTCTGTCTGCTCATGTCAAGCTGCCAGGCATCCACAGGCGGGCTGGCCTCTGGCTTTGCACTGGAGGTGCCCTCGGCATGGAGGGGAAGACATACAATGACCATAGGTTAGATGGCACCAGGAGGTGGCACCAGGAGGAGGTGGCACCTAGGGGGAGGTGGCACTAGGAGGGGGTGGCACAAGGAGGAGGTAGCACCCAGGGGGAGGTGGCACCCAGGGAGAGGTGGCACAAGGAGGAGGTGGCACCCAGGGGCAGGTGGCACTAGGAGCAGGTGGCACCAGGAGGAGGTGGCACCAGCAGGGGGTGGCACCCGGGGAGGTGGCACCAGGGGGAGGTGGCACCCAGGGAGAGGTGGCACTAGGAGGAGGTAGCACAAGGAGGAGGTGGTACCCAGGGGGAGGTGGCATTAGGAGGAGGTTTCACCCAGAGGGAGATGGCACCAAGGGGGAAGTGGCACTCAGGGGAAGGTGGCATTAGGAGGAGGTGTCACCCAGGGAGAGGTGTCACCCAGGAGGAGGTGGCACCCAGGGAGAGGTGGCACCCAGGGGGAGGTAGCACTAGGAGGAGATGGCACCCAGGGAGAGGTGGCACCCAGGGGGAGGTGGCACCCAGGGGGAGGTGGCACTAGGAGGAGGTGGCACCCAGGGGGAGGTGGCACCCAGGGGGAGGTGGCACCTAGAGGGAGGTGGCACTAGGAAGAGGTTGCACCCTGGAGAGGTGGCACCTACGGAGAGGTGGCACCCAGGGGTGGTGGCACTAGGAGGAGGTGGCACCCAGGGAGAGGTGGCACTAGGAGGAGGTGGCACCCAGGGAGAGGTGGCACCTAGGGAGAGGTAGCACCCAGGGGTGGTGGCACTAGGAGGAGGTGGCACCCAGGGAGAGGTGGCACTAGGAGGAGGTGGCACCCTGGGAGAGGTGGCACCCAGGGAGAGGTGGCACCCAGGGGGAGGTGGCACTAGGAGGAGGTGGCACCCTGGGAGAGGTGGCACCCAGGGGGAGGTGGCACCCAGGGGAAGGTGGCACTAGGAGGAGGTGGCACCCAGGGAAAGGTGACACCCAGGGAGAGGTGGCACCCAGGGGAAGGTGGCACTAGGGGGAGGTGGCACCCAGGGAGAGGTGACACCCAGGGGAAGGTGGCACCCAGGGGAAGGTGGCACTAGGAGGAGGTGGCATCCAGGGAGAGGTGGCAATAGGAGGAGGTGGCACCAGACCTGTCGGGAAGGCCTTCATCCCTGCCCTGCCCCTCCCAGCCCCATCCTCAAGTTCTGGAAACTAAGAAAGCCATCCTCAGGAGTCCCTCACAGCTGATGAGTGGTTCTGGTGGAACCAAACTCTGCTGTCACTCCAGAGCTGTCACTGTTGGCAGCATTTATCGCCAGAGTCCAGCACCGTAGGCGTGGGGAGCACCAGGCTCACCGGGACCTCCATAGGCGTGTCACGAAGACGCGTGATGTGGCCTCCAGCCAGCCCCTCCCTGTCCGCTGCCGCCTGTGAAGGCAGGCAAACAGCAGGCACTTTCTGTCAGGGGCTCTAGCAGATGAGACAAGGAAGCTGACTTTTTGACAGCCTAAAAGCACAGAAGTTGTGGAGAAAGCAGGAAACGTAAACTGAAAGCTTCAGTGTGCCCACTTTGGCCAAAAGCTTCTGAAGGGCCCCTGTGGTAAAATGGCAGGGCCGCCAGCCCTGCGGGCCCCTCCTCAAGGGAACGCCACGGGCAGCTCTGTGACAGCCCGAGTAATGCTGGCCAAAGTCTCCTGAAAAGGCAGAGACAGAAACACCAGTCCTCCGAGGCACCCACGAAAGCATTCGACCTTTCTGAGCCCCGTTTCCCGTGTGTAAACGGGGCGGGGCCAACTTCCCTCTACAGCCCGCCCAGACCCCAGTGTGCGGCCCAGTGGAGGAAGCCAGCTCTCCCTTTCTCAGGGGACCTGGTCTGTCTGAAGCTTCCTCCTGAGCTGCCATGAGCTCACGCAAAGAACGACCCACACACAGCTCACACACACATATGCAGACACACACATGCTCACACATAAACACGGTCACACACTCGCACACACACTCACATACATCACAGACACACATGCGGTCACACATACATACAAACACTCGCACAGACATATACATACACACTCATTTGCACACACACATATATACACACTCATAGTTGCACACACACACATATCCATACACACACATACCCTCATACACTCACACACACTCCCATACACACACATACATACACTCACAAATACACATGCACACAAACTAACACACACACACCCAGACATACACACACACTCACACATACACTCACAGAGACACACACGCACACGCTCACACACTCACGTGGCATGCAGGCACGCTCACGCGCTCGCTGTCCGCCCCTCAGACGGCCCTCCAGAGGACAGCTGAGCTCCGCACGTGTTGCTCCCAAGGCTGCACAGGGCCCAGCCCACTGTCCTCCGGGTCCCGCTGCACCAGGCCGCCTCCAGGGCTCAGGCCACCGTAGTCAACCACAGCTATGGCCCCTGAGCGTGAGAACTGCCCAGAGTGCCCTGAGCCGGGACATGACAACCCTCTTCTCAGCACTAAAAATAGAGACGTGGTCTCACAGCAGGAGGGCACATTTACTGTCACGTGCCAGAAGCTTCCACACTTTATTTCATTTGTTTTCACAACCACCACACGAGGGAGGTTCATACCTCAATCCAAGTGCACTTCTCTCCTACCTGCCAAAGGCCACCTTGCTAAACTCAGCGCACACTCCAGCTTGGTGAGGTCACTGCGGGCCTGGACAGTGCCAAACACTCAGGCAGACATCCTGTCCAACTTCACACTCCACCAAAGCTGACATCCAGACATTAATGAGGAGGGGAGATCTGAAGTGGCTGGGGACATTTCATGCCCCGGGACCCCCCCCCCCAGGGTCACCATTGTCACATGCAGGCATCAGCACTGCATGGCTAAGGCCACTCGGGCAAGTATAAGGACACCTACAAAACTCCTTCTGGGGCCCCACTCCAACTTCCCTCCAGGCTGTCTGTGACAATGGCCAGATCAAAGCCACTCAAAGTGGAATGTGAGTCCAGCGTGGCTTGTTCCTAGGAGCCCCTGCCAGCTCCATACACTCCTCTCCTCTTGCCTCCAGACTCCCAGCCCTTCCCCTTATGCTAGGATCTTTCCCAGGAGCACCCTCACATTTTAGAGTCTCACCCATGCAGGCTGCAACAACGCCTGACCCCCACACCTCTCAGATGAGCACTGCAGGTGTGGGACGGTACCTCAGGTCATGCCAGGCCCTGGGTCAGGGCCCCTGACCACACACAGCAGCTCAGCACTGCCTCACCCCTGCCTTCCTGCGGGCCTCCCCAGGCCCCATGTGCCTGCAGGCCCATCTCCATCCAGACCTCTGTGGCCGAGTGGAGCTGCTCCTCCCTCCCTCCCCTGCCAGAGACACCAGCTGCCCAGATAGTGAATGATCTCTGCAACCTTTGTTCCCCTTGCGCTGAACACAATCCGGAAAGAGCTCTGTGGTCCTCAGCTCTCCTCAACAGGCTCAGCTCGTCGTGGGCACTCACCCCAACACTCTTTACTGTGTGTCCCCTGTCATTGTGCATGTCCCAAGAAAGATTCCTCCTGTCATCCTTGGTTATCTTCCCTCCGACCACACAGAGGCGTCTCCGTGCTCGCCTCACTAGCAAGCGCCTGATTTAATCCCAAGACTCCCGCCGCCGCAGAGCCCTCAGGTCAGGGATCATGAAGCTATGAACTTCGAAACTGTCTGAAACTGAGTTCTCCACGTCTGCAGGGCACTGCCCCATGCTTGGCCTTCCCTCCTATAGGGGACACTTCTCCCTAAGGCTCTGAACCCCCTTGGGCACCCCCTTGGGCACCACCAGGGTCCTGCTACTACCCATCTCAGGGAGTGCTCCACTCAGGGAGGTGAGGCCTCACCAACACTAGTGTTCAAAGCTCGTGATTCTTGGCTTATTTCACATCCCCTGGGCACTGACTGCGGACTGATCCTCCCTTCACCTGGGACCTGCTGGCCACATGCTCCCACGTTACCTGTCTGTGCCGTGACCAGGTTGTCCCAGGTAACCTTCAAGCCTTCCATCCACGTAGAGGTTAAGTGCACGGGCACCAGGCTCAGGGGGCCTAGACTCCAGTCTGGCCCAGCTCTTACCAACCCTGCCTCCTGGGGCAAGGTGTGGGTCCACCCCATGCCTCCGAGTTCTCATCTGCAAAGAGAATCACCTTGGTGCTCACTTCACTGGACTGTCGGAAAGACTGGATGGACTAACACGGTTAAAGTGCCAGAGTCCGGCTCAATAAACGTCAGGGAGATAAGCTGTTCTCAGAGGACAAGCAGGTGGAGTAGACATCATGGCCACCTTCCCTCTACTTGTGAGCTCTCCGGAACCAGCATGCAACAGTGTTTAATGAATGACAAAATGGCCTGGGCATTTTTCTCCTTCCGCTCCACTTGCAGAAAAAAGAACTCTTGGCAACCAACTGGATGACCTCATTTTCCTGAGATGGCTGAAGGCACTCTCCACCCCAAGTCAACTGGCCAGCCTCCAGCTGTGGGTCACACACCAGCTCTTACTCCCTGACACCACATAGGCCCCAGGCAGTGCTTTGCTGTGTCTGCCTTTCTCTTCTGCTAAAACAAACAAGAACAGACAGTACCTCCTGTGCCTCCAATCCTTTGGTGTCCCTGGTCTCTGGAGAGGCTTCCCAGGCCTCTGCAGAAGATTCCAGAGGATAGGTATCCATTAACTTATTTTGCATATGTCCTGGGTTTTCCTAACAAAGGGAATACACGTTTCTAGACATGCTCCTGGCTCTGGCACACTGAAAAAATTGCATACTGAAGAGTGGCCCAAGCTTTTCTGCAGGCTGGCTGGTGGTGCCCCAGAGCTAGGGAGAGGAGGGATTCCCGACAGCCCCCACAAGCTCCACTGCCAGCTATGGCTGCAGCTCTCTAGCAGCAATGCCTACTGTGTTCCAGCAAAGCCAAGTATAAGATTCCTGGCACACAGTCAGCCCCAGGCCTGCAGTGAGGCTGCCCTGGTATCAACACCCCTTAGCCATGTGGACCCTCATAGGGGAAAATGGGATCCCATCAGCCACTCAGATGCCCGAGCCTCTGTGGATGCAGGGCCAATGAAAGCAGAGGCCAGTACCTCAAAGGGGTCCTGCTGTGTAGATGGACAGTCAGCCATAGACATGGCCGAGGGTGGCAGCAGGACACTAGAACAAGGAACAGGATTCTACCAAACACCGCCCACTGGCAATGGGCGGATCTGTGTGGAAGGATATTTCAGACACAACTTGCACTGCAACAGGGAAGTCACACAACGGGACTGAATTAGCCCTCCATGCTCAGGCTCCAGGGGATAACTTGGGTTCCAAATCAGCCCTGCCACTCACTACCTGTGTGATCACAGATGACCACTCTGGGCCTCATTCTCCTTATAAGTAAGAGAGGCTGTGATCTCCCCTTCGGGAGCCTCCCAACAGGACTACCAGAGCTCTGTGCATGGCAGGTAGTAAGAGTCCCCAGAATGGCAACTCTCATTCCTCATGAGATTAAGAAATAAAGCAAGATCCCTAAACGGTGGTCACAATTACTGTGCAAACCTTCAGTCTGTGATTACACACCAACTGCTCAGTCAGACCCTCCCAGATGCCAACAATAGAGTCATCCATCTAAGGGTAGAAGGAAGATGTGCTTACAGAGACACAGACTACTTCGTGAAGGAAGGCAAGTTTCAAAGCACTGAAGCCCAAAACTTATTTTTTTTTAACTGGTGTGATTATCTCTTTTAAACAAGGGTTGCCTCTCCTAGATTTCTGAAAGAAAAAGGTGCTAAGCAAATCAGATGAATTCTAAATTATTTGACAACCTTTTACCCCTCCCACCAGATGATACAGTGGAAGTCATAGTTAGATTACTTAAAAGACAATTTAACTCTTTAATCCAGAAAATAGTTTCACCAACCAAAGTTGCATGCACATACCTACAATTTTTTCCAACATTCTTGATCAAAAGTGAGTAAATTCTTTCATTAAACACACTGCACTCTTCCTCCATCATTTCTAACCTCTGCTCACTTGTGTGTGATTTATCTATGGCCAAATTTCCTTTTCTGCAACAACTGAAAAATTAAGTTAGCTGAATTATCAATAAAGGTCACAACAAACTACAATATTAGGTTAAATTATTTCCAAGAAACCAAAGCTTCAAGCTTTAGTTGGTAATTAAGATAATTAAAAACAAACAAGGGTCCTTTTTAAAACTTAGTGTATATATTATGTATGTCTGAACATATATAGACAGGTATGTATCATAAAAATGTCATGAAAAAAATGAAATCACATCTCTCTTGTCATCTTTGTCATCTTTGACAAGATTAAATTTTTAACAGGAATAAAATGTTGCCTGGATACAATACCTCCACTTTATCCCTCAGAAATGAGTGAGACTTGCTTGTCTACATTTGTTCACTTACTAAACCTCTAAGGCAATCTTTGATATTAACTTGAAATATTTTCACCTTGTTCCTACTACCTAATTTACACAAAAATATTAATTTCAAATGCTACAATTATTTTTACAAAATAATCACTCAAGAGCAATTATGTTACTTCATTTCTGTACATCAGAGGCATTGATAAGTACATATTTAGAAACTTACTGTGATTTTTTTATTTCTACTCTTACCCAAGTGTTTCAAATGCAAAGCCCTGGCCTCCCAGTCACCGTCTTCCCCACAGCCCAGCTCTGAATCCTGCACTGGCCTCTCATAGCCTGCCCAGGAGGAAGGTGTGGGTGAGATGGTCCCCCAAATCCTCCTGCAAGGCTTAGCTTCCTGCTGTGGTGTCTGTGCCCACAGTAAAGGCAAAATGTCAAGAAAATAATGCAATCAACGCCTTTTCTCTAAAACCAGGTATTTTCTTTCAGCTCACTCTGAAAATTCGGAAATGTATAATTTGATCATTTATGTGCTTTTTCCCACGACAGGCACTGGACAGGTTACCTGTGCAGATCTTTGGATGTGGTCTGTTGGAGAAAGGATCTGGGCTGATGCAGGGTTCTTGGGCTATTGCCCAGGGCAAGCCCTCGCCGAGAATAAGGGAGCAATACGAGATGAACTGAGGGAGGAAGGGAGGAAGGGAGGAAAGAATTCGAAGAACTGCCGTCTGAAAAGTCACCTTAGGAGAAAAAAAATCAAAGGCACAATTCTTTTGTGCTGAAAAGAAGCGGGGGAGGGGAAGAGAGGAGGAGGGAGGGAGAGGAAGGGGTGGAGGGAGGAGAGAGAGGAAAGTGAGGAGGGGAGAGGGAGAGACAGACAGAAGGAAAAGGAAGAGGGGAAACGGCCAGTGAAGGAGAGACACACAAGAAGAAGTGAGATGGGAGGGAGAGCAACAGGAAGAGAAAGGGGACAGGGAGGCAGGGGCAGGCCGGGCTCCCGACGCGGGAGAGAGGAGGACGCTGGCACCGAGGGAAGGGAAGAAGCCCGCAGAAGGGAGATGGCCCCCGCCCGCGCGCCTCTGCCCCAGCGCTCGCTCACCCGGTCCCGGCGACGCCGGCGCGGGGCGCTCCCGCGGACAGGGCAGCCGCGCCGCGCGCCCGGAACCTGCGCTGGCGCCCGCGGGCGGCCAAGCCCCGCCCCGCCTCCTTGGGCGGGGCCTCGCGCTCCGCGTGTCGCGGGGCCTCGCGGGCTCGAGGGGGCGGGGCCTCGCGGGCTCGAGGGGGCGGGCCTCGCGGGGAGGGCGCCCCGCGCGGGGACGCACGTTCCGGGTTCGAGACCCCGCCCGGTCCGCTGTGCTGCGGCCGGTGCTGCCCGGGCTCCGCGCCGCGTCCCGCCCTGGCCGGCCGGAGGCGTGGGTGGCGCCTGCGGGTGGGCGGAGGGCGTCGCTTAGGAGCGGCGCCCCTCTCCGCGCTCTGAGCCCTGCGCGCCCCAGCCTCTCCGCACTTGGGCCCGCCGGGCAGAGGCGACGCGGGCGCAGCGGCGCGTGCAGGGCCTGCGGCTCCCGTGGGCGCCGCCGGGACGCGGAGCGGCCTCCTTCCCGCCCGGCTCAGCGGCCCTGCCTCTCCCAGCGCCCAGGAGAGTCGCCCTGCCGCTCACCGGCGCGGCCGCCGCCGCTCCCCTTTCCAGGCTCCCAGGTGTGCAGTGGCTGCACTCTGCCTTAAAGGCCGTTCCCTGACCATTTCAACCTAACATCGCTGCCCGTGGAGGGTGGGATGGGGCAAGGCGGAGAAAATGAGGGTTCAACTACATTAAAAGCCTCTGGATAACCACATGCAGAAGATTGAGACTGGACCCCATCTCTCACCTCTCAGAAGAATCAACTCATGGCGGATAACAGACTTAAATCTAAGTCATGAAACCTTAAGAATTCTAAAAGAAAATGTTGGGAAAACTTTTCTAGACATTGGCCTAGGCAAAGAATTTATGAAGAAGACCCCAAAGGCAATCACAGCAGCAACAAAAAGAAATAAATGGGACCTGATCAAATTAAAAAGCTTCTGCACAGCCAAGGAAACTATCATGAGAGTGAACAGACAACCTACAGAATGGGAGAAAATATTTACATTCTACACATCTGGTAAAGGGCTGATAACAAGACTCTATATAGAACTTAAGAAAATTAAGAAAAAATGAAACAACCCCATCAATAAATGGGCAAAGGACATGAACAGAAACTTTTCAAAAGAAGACAAAATAATGGCTAGGAAACATATTAAAAAGTGTTCGACATCTGTAATCATCAAGGAAATGCAAATCAAAACCGCAATGAGATATCACTTAACTCCAGTGAGAATGGCACTTGTCAAAAAGTCCCAAAACAACAAATGATAGCATGGATGTGGAGAGATAGGAACACTCTTACACTGCTGGTGGGACTGCAAATTAATACAACCCCTGTGGAAAGTAATTTGGAGATATCTCAAAGAGCTAAAAATAGAAATACCATTTGATCCAGCAATCCCACTACTAGGCATCTACCCAAAGGAACAAAAGACATTCTATAATAAAGACATCTGCACTAGAATGTTTATGGCAGCACAGTTCACAATTGTAAAGACATGGAAACAACCAAAGTGCCCATCAATACTTGAGTGGATTAATAAAATGTGATATATGTTTACTATGGACTACTACTCAACTACAAAAAACAATGGTGAACTAGATCTCTTATATTATCCTGGATAGAGCCTAAGCCCATCCTTTGAAATGAGAAATCACAAGAATGGAAAAACAAGCACTGCATGTCCTCACCATCAAACTGGTACTAACTGATCAACACTAAGGTGCTCACATGGTAGTAATATTCACTGGGTGCTAGTCAGGTGGGAGGGGGATGTGGGGGTGGGTAAACTCACAATGAATGGATGCAGAGTGCAATGTATGGGGGAAGGGCACACTTACAGCCCTGGCTTGGGTGAGGCAAAGGCATATATTTTAAATAAAAGAACTTATTTTTTATTTAAAAAATAAAAAATTAAATTAAATGCAGTATAAAAAACAAGCCACATACTGAAAGAAGATATTTGCAACAATTGATAAAGGATTAGTGTCTAGATTATATAAAGAATGTTAATGACTTATTATGAAAGAGATAAGCACCCAGTAGCAGATGGATACACAGGCATGAATAGGTTCTTTTAGGAGGAAACATGACCAAAAATCATGTGAACAGATAACCAATTCCATCTGTAATTAGTACAATGCAAATTAAAACAAGATGTTTAATTAACAGCCAAAAATATAAAATTATTAAGTGTCATGAAAGATGATAAGCAAGAGAACCCTAATAGCTGTTGGGATAAGTATACCAGATTTCATTGATTCTAAAAATATCACTAACTTAAGATACTCCATTATTTTAAATACAACTCCAGAAGAAGAAACAAAAAACAAGACAAAAAATTCCCACCAATGCAATGCTTTTTAGCACTTGTAATTTTTAAGGTATATGTATATATATATATTTTGAGATTTTTTTTTTAGTTTTTTTGGGGTTTTTTTTTAATTGTTTTTTTTTTTGCTTTCAAACTTGAGGCCATTTTATTTGTTAGGTTTTTTTTAAAATTTTTTTTTATCACAATTTGACTCTTCCGAATCCCTTTTGAGTAAATGTTGCATATGCCCATGTTTTTTCAAACAATATAAGCTCTCTGCCATTCAAAATGTGAATAGAAGTTCTCTGAAAAGGAATTTAGAGAAAAGAGACTTTATTCCACTGAACAGTTTGCAAACTGGGGAGTTGGAGCCTTTGGTATAAAATGAAGGTGGCTTCCAGAGAACAAAGGGAGGGTTTGTCTTTTACAGAGAAATTTTTTGCCCAGATTACCTCTCCAGTCTGCTTATGCAAAGGAAGGAATCAAACTTTCTTAGTTCTGATTGGTTGACATTTGCTAAGCTCTGATTGGTTGACATAGGTCACAGACTATTGGTGGAGTCAGTCTTCATAAAGGAGAACAGGCAGCTATGGAAGACCCAAAGTTAAGCAGTCATGTGGTTTCCTGGGAACTCATACTATAGCATATGACTTCTAGTCAGCAAATGGTCACATGGCTCCAATTTGAATTTAGGCTAAGGTAGCTACTCAGGATTCATCTTGAAGGATTGACTCTTGCAAGGTGCACAAAAGCCATGCTCATGCAGCAGTTTCAACACATGCGTGTAAACTTTTCTACTCTTCCCCCCTTGAGAGGTGGACCTGTGTTCCCTCCCACTGAATCTTGGCGGCCTTGTGACTGCTTTGACCAATGGAACACAGTGGAAGTGACATGTGACTCCCAAAGTGATGTCACAAAAGGCTCTACAATCTCTTCCTTGCCCACTGGAAATACTCTTGGAACTCTGAGCTGTGAACAAAAGTTCTCTAAAAAGGAATTTGGAGGAAAGCAGCTTTATGTTAGTGAACAGTTTGCAAACCAGAAAGAGGCAGCCTCTGCTGTAAAATGAAGGTGTATTCCAGAGGACAAAGGGCAGGCTCAGGTTTTACAGCAAAATTTCCGGCCCAGGTTCCCAATCAGGTCTGTTTATGCAAATGAAGGCTTGAAACTTGCTTAGGTTTGATTGATCAACTGAGCTGAGCCAAGATTGGTCAATACAGCCGAACCCTAATTAGTTGATACAGCTGAGCCCTGATTGGCTGGAACAGGTGAGCTCTGATTGATTGGTTTCCAAGCTGAAAGATAAAAGGTACAGGTTTTTGGGAACTCAGAGCATATATGAGACCCCTCCCTAGTCAGCAAATGGTCACTTGGCTGTATTTTAAATTTAGATCCCCATAACCACTTGGATCCATCTTGAGAAATTAACTGTTTTACATTCACATTTTTTCACAAAGCCACCATGTAAGGTGTCTAAGCACCCTGAAATCACCATGCTGTTAGGAAGTCCAAGTCACATGGGAGGCCACATGCAGGATCTCTGTTAACATCCCAGCTGAGCACAGCTTTGGGGTCCTCAGGCCTAGCTGCCACACTCCTGAGTGATGACGCTGTCAGATCATTCCAGTCCCAGTCATTCAAGTCACGTTGGCAGCTCAAGTCTGCCTGTTAGAGGCCTTGGACATGTGGAGCCCTCCCCACTCTGCTCTGTCTGAATATCCTCAGAACCTGTGAGCATAATAAGATGGTTCTTGGGCCACCAAGAGCGGGTGGTTTGGTGCACGGCAGTGGAGAGCAGGCACGTCCCTTGTTCACAAGGACGTCGGCAGCATCGCACAGTCCTCGCCACCTTCTAGATCCCGCCCTCCCCTGGGGCACGTTGGTGCTCACGCAGATGCTGTCTCCGTTCCCAACCCCGGCCTCCCAGCTCCTTGACCCCTCACCCACAGTGACCTCCTTACCTGAGCCACCTCAGGTAGCTCTGTCACTTAACACAAAGGCAGGTTCTGAGGGGATGTGAAGGGACACCTGTGAGGGCAGCAAGGAGCACGAAGCCTTCCTCTTACACCCCTCAACGGCCCTGTGACTCCCACTTGAGATGGTCAATGTGTAGGGCAGAGCTGCAGGTCACAAAGTCACCATGTCAACCTTCCTGTCAATCATAACAACAGGGAATTCTGCCCCCAGGGTGGGGGAAGGGCAGGCAGGTAGCTGAGGCAGGTGTCCAAAGAGCCAGCTACTGTCCCTGGTCCCTGCAATCTGGGCAGGTACCTGGTGTTGGGCCACAGTGCTCACTGCGGAAGGGGCGTGGCCCCAAGCACAGGTGGAGGTGGCAGAGAGGGTGGCCAGAGGTGGCTGGTGCTCAGAGAACCTGGGCCTTGGCCCAGGGTCCCAAGAGTAAGCTGGGGTCACAGGGACAGCCAATAAAATGGGGAGCCAGAGCCCCCGGGTGCCTGGCTTCACTCTTGTCCTCCTGCTGCTGCCACCTCCATTGATGCTTAGCATGGGGAGCTTCCGGTACCACAGCGCTAATGGTAGAATCAACTATGACTACTCAAACCCATACCCCATGAGCTTCCAAGAGCAGAATGAGAGGGCTGGCAAAGGCCATGGAAAGAGGAGTCAGGAGTACTGCAATGGAGCCTTTGACATCTACTTCATTTTGGACAGGTGAGTGGTCCGTCCAACGCTGGTCCAAGGGCTGCCATACCCTGGGTCACTACAGGCAGGACATGGCCCTAACGAGGGGCAAGTTCAGTCTGTTGGTCAGATAGGGGGAACTAGTCCTTTGTGGTCTCTTTGTCTCCAGGAGAGGCAGGGGAAGGAACAGCCACAGGGGATCTGGGTGGGTCTGTCCCTCCAGCCACTTGGCCTGAATTTTTGTCCTCATGACCATAAGCAGTTACTTCTCAGCAGTTGTTTGAAGCTCACTGTAGGTTTTTGCCTCCCATTCTCAGAGATGGCTTTGTTGATTCTGTTGGCCATTCTAATAGTGTCACTGCTTAGAAAAGTCCTTTGCTTTGCAGCTTCTAAGTGCTTTTTCTACACCCTGGAGACTCAATGACAGTTCCTGCACTTTCAGGAGCAGCTTGGTCTGTCTCAGTGTGGTCCTGGGACAGCTGGGCTGTGCACTAGGCACCTTCCGACTCTCAAAGAAAGAAAGGGGGTGGGTCTTCGATCCTGGCGATGTTGTCTTGGTTGTGTTTCAGCTGCTGCCATTGGGCGGAACAGACTTGGTGGCTGCTCTCCAGTGGCAGTGGAGCGACTGTCAGTGGGTGCCGAAGCACCTCGGTGTGTCCAGAGCCCTCCCCTGCACTCCTGCATCCTCACATCCAGCCCAGGATGTGGAGGAGCGCAGGCATTTTTCTATCCTATTTCCTGGCCGAGGGGGGCTCCTGGAGCTTGGTGCAGTCCCAGAGGCAGGTGGCGTGACAAGACTTGGCGTCCTGCACTGCGCTCCCCCCCCCATCCCAGGTGGAGCTCCTCTGACGTCCTCGTTCCCTTGGATGCTAATGGTTGGCCACTGCTTGGCTGCCCTTGGGGAAGGGCCGCCTGGCTTTGGAAGCAGGCAGACCCCACTCACCAGCCACGTGGCCTTGGGCAAGTTGCTTCAAGTCTCTGTGCCTCAGTGTCCCCATCTGTGAAAAGGGTATCTTCATACCCACCTTGCCAGGTGTATGAGGAAGAAGGGAGAGTTCCTAGGTCAGATGCAATAGCCAAGGGAGAGTGTGACGTGAGCTGCCAGGCAAGGCAGAGTCACAGGCTGGGAACTCCCGGCACTGCAGGGGCCTGCCCCAGTCCTGGCTGCAGCTGTCTGTCCTCCAGTATCTGTTGTACACTGCAGTGTCACCTAGATACACCAGTGCAATGGGCAAAGCATAGAGTTTGAGGATAGATCGGGATTCAGATCCACAATAGCTGTGGCAATTATGACAAATTTCATGACCTGTCAGAGCCTCAAGTTGCTCATCTGTAAAATGGGAACCGTGCTGCGCACAGATTGAGATGCAACCTTGAGGAGGCAGTAGAATGCTGGAGAGGAGAAGGTTGCTCTTGAGTACCTGAGAATCACCACACAGAAGCATGATGTTCATGGGGTGCACCTTTATAGACACAGTCATTACTGGAGGGGAGAAGAGCTGCCTGGCAGATTTCCCTGAGCACATAACATACACAAGACGCCACCGAACACAGACACAGAGAAAAAGCCCAGGCTAAGGCACCAGCCTCAGTTTCATAGCACACTGTCTCTGGAACTAGGACAAGAACCTTAAGCCACAAGCCTCACGTTTCCCCTCCATACCTGGAATAGTTCCCGTCTCTGCAGGGCTATGCACACTGGCACTGACAACTGTGGGATGGCACAGACCGCGCACCTGGGCCGGTAGGACGGACGTGAGTGACTCTCACCTACATGGAAGGTGCATGAGTCCCAGCCCCCTTCAGCCTCCTCACTCTCTGTGCAGGAGCTAAGCAGAAGAAAACAGGAACAAGGATCAGGTAGTCGGGATGGAAGGGGGCTGCAGCTCTCCCTGCTGGTTGCGACATGAGGAACCAGGACAGCAGTGGCCAGGCCTGCTCCTGCCCTCCCCTGGCAGTGCCTGCTGGAAAATGCCTTCCCTCGCCAGTGGCTCAGCTTTGCAGACTGATAGGAAAGCTGGGCAATCGAGTGGTCTAAGGTGGCCATCCTCCCATGCCTGAGGCCCAGGCTCCTGCAGGGACTGTCTCCACGCCTCTGTGGGCCCTGGGAAGTGTGAGGGAGTGAGCAGAACCTGCGGGTGTCATGAGGAGGTGTAGCAGGTCAGACCTAGGCTTCCAAAAGGGTCCCCAGTCTGAGAGACAGGTCTGACACCCAAGAATGCAAGAGTCCAGCAGGGAATTTCCGGCCAGGTCTGGGTCACCCTCTGTGCCTGAGGCATCTGCTTTCAAGGGGCTGTGATGGCAGCGGTGCCAAAGAGCCCTGTCCTCACCCCAGCCACGCAGACAACTGGGAATGGCGAAACCCGAGGCAAGTGTGGCACCAGGAGGGTGACGTTTCAGAGTCGCCTGGAGGCTTTCTAGCTGCCACACCCAGCCGAGCTCCCCACTCTGCCTGGCATGAGCAGCTGTCCTGGTTGGCCACCAAATGCCCCTCATCCCGGGAAGCTCCTCCTGCCCAGGCAGACAGGTCTGGGTGGCCGCGCTAGGCAGACCACTCAACTGACGGAAGTCCCCACCTAGGCTGACCGGGGTGACCACTGAGGGTGTGCCCAGCCCTCAGCTGTGTTGCGGTGGGGACAGGCTTGTTAACGAGCCTGCTGTGGGCTGGGGACACTGCCCACCCCGCGAATGTGCCTCATGGCCCTGACTCACGTCTCCATTGTTTTCAGGTCCGACAACATGAAGTCCTGGCCTGACCTTTACACCTGTGTGAAGCACATTGCAGGGAAATACGTAAAGTATGGCTGCCGTCTCCTCTGTGCTCTGGGGCTTTCCCTCTGGCAGGCAGAGGGCCCGTCTGATTAGGTTTGGTGAGCAGGGAGCCCCTCGTGGGGAGCACTTAGCCCCGCTGGCTTTTGGCTTTCTGAAGCAGGAGCAGGCCAGCGCTCACTGGCCTGCGCTCAGTGGCCCGCCCCTGCCTGAGAGCCAGGTGAATGGCAGAGGCCACTGCCGCCCTGGAGGCCCTCGCAGGCTGGGGAAGGGAAGCTGGGCAGAGCAGTGGCTCAGTAACAGCCCTGGCTACACCGCGCTGAGGCCCAAGGAAAGGGACACAGAACTCACCAAGGAAGGTTACGGAAACAGAGAATTCCCGGGGACAAAGTCAAGGATGGCTTCCCAGTGGAAGTAGAACTTTGAACTGGGTCTTGTAGGCTGGAGAGGACGCAGCCACAGGAGCCATCAGGTGACCTGTGGTGCCGTGAGGGGTCTGGCTCGCCTGGGGCCTGGGGCCAACTCGGGAGGGCTGGAGCCTGAGGCTGGGCAGGCCAGCTTGGGGCCAGGGACACAGGAGCTCATGGTGCCAGCCCAAGGTCTCCGATTCCTGCTGGGAGCCACAGGGAGCCAGAGAAGGTTCTTGCGCAGGGGAGTGACGTCATCAGGGTTGTGCTGCGGGGACAAAAGTCTGACAACTGTGGGGGACGTGGGTGGTGACAAGAGCAGGAGCGCAGCTGGGACGTGTGGCAGCAGCTTCCCTGAGGGGCACAGGGGTCAGCAGGCAGGAAGGCAGTGGTCAGGGGAGGACAGGGAGGAGGTGTGCGTGGTCGCCAGGAGGGAGGGCGATTTCTCTGAGATGGGTGAAGGGACCAGGAGCTGCCCAGTAGAGGAGAGGCCAGTGGGAGGGAGGCGCTGGTGGAGGTGTGGGTCGTCGGGTGCGTGTGGGCGTCTGGGTGCTGGAGTGCAGGGACGGAGCAGGTTGCCTCCGGGGGCCCCACCTCCACAGGCCTCAGATCCCTTCACTAACTCACCTGGCCCCCCCGTGCTCCACACGGGCCACAGCGCGGAAGAGCTGGGGTGGGGAGCAGGCGGGTGGTGCTCACCCCTCCCTGGCAGCTCACTGATGCCCACTGGAGCCTGTGCCTGTGGCTTCTCACCGGCACGTATTTCCTCCCCAGCCCGAAGCTGCGAATGTCCTTCATCACCTTCTCTACAAAAGCTGAAGTCAACATCTGGCTCACCTCAAACAGGTAAGTGCTAGTGTGAACTCTCAAGGAGTCCTGGTGGGCTGGGCCACAGGGAGTTCCAGGGAGCCGAGGGTTCCCCGAGACCTCAGTGGGGACCCTGCCAGGGCATAGCCTGGGCCCTGTACGGTGCTCCTCGCACCCTGCGGCTAGCCCCAGCTCCCCTGTGCCCTCTGACCCCTGGCTGCACTGGACCTGCAGAGTCCTGTGCCCCCGAGTCCTCCGCCTCCCACCCTCTGTCCCTGCCCTCCCTCTGTCCTGCCTCCTCTCCTGGGAGGTGGCTGTGAGGATCCGGGGCCCAGGGGCCTGGTGTGTGTGGGTCCTGGTGAACACAGCCTGTGCTGGGCACGGCTCTGTGCCTGGCCCTCTCGGCCCTGGCCAGTGGGGACAGGAGCCGGTCTGAGCGCGGGGCAGTGCTGGGGAATTTAGTGCAGGGTGCCTGGTCCGGGGCGGGTCCCCAACAGGGGCCCGTGGGTGGGTCCAGAGCCAGAGGCCAGGCTGGGGTGCTAGAGGGCGGCAGGACGAGCAAGTGTCCAGGCGGCTGGAGGGTCCCAGTAGGGGAGCCTGGCCTGGCGGTGGGTGTCCTGAGGGTTCCGGGTGGGCTGGGAGGTGAAGGACCCCTTGGGGAGCCAAGGCGTGGAGCGGGTTGCGGAGCGGGTGCGGCACGGGGAGGAGAGGGCGCTGCGCACCGCGTGGTGCCTGGGCCGCCCGGGCAGCTTCGAGGGGAGCAGGCAGGCGTGCCGCTCCGCGGGCTGCGGCGGCTGGGGGTGTGTCCCGTGCTGTGGGTTGGGGGAGACCTGAGTGGGCCTGATGGGGGAGAATCAAGGATGTGGGGAAGGACCTGGCCGGTGGCCAGAGAGCAGTGGGAGCTGGGCTGGGCCCAGCCCAGTGTGGCCTCCCCTGGGCACGCAGGGCACGGCCTCCTCCCTGGGCCGGCGGGGCAGGGCCCTCAGAGCTGCCCTGGCCGCTCTCTGCCGGCAGCGCGGGGCAGGCCCTCAGGGTCCACACGTGGCTCAGCCTTGCTGTGCTGGCTCAGCCTGTCACATTGGATTAGCCAGACGCTGGGCCCCCCTTTCCTGGCCCAGTCCTGCCACCAGAACCAGCCCCGCCTGCCCACCGCGTCCTGTTGGCTCTAACAGCGGCTGACAGGCCTCATCCCAGAGCCGGCGCGCCCACCTCTGCCCTCCTGCGGGAGCACAGGCCGCCAAGGGCCCCAGGGCTCCGAGTGAGATTTGCTGCTTCCTCGGCAGGATGAAGGGGAGGGAGATAGAGTCAGGCCAGGCTGTGAGGCCGTGGGGGTGGGTGCAGGCCTGGGGGCTTAGCAGGTGACCTTTGCCACGCTCAGCCTCGGGTTAGGTTAGAGCGGGGGTTAGATGGCCGGCCCCATTGCCAGGCCCTGACTGGCAGTTGCACCTCTCTGGGTTAGGCTGAGGGTTTCAGTCAGGGTTTGGAAAGCTCGTCCCTTGGGAGGGCCTGGCCTGCAGCTGCACGTCCCTGGGAAACTCTGACACTCACCGCGGATGGTCCAAGCAGGGCCCTTGGGGATGTCCCTGAGGCCTGCGTCCCTGCGACAGGGAGGAGCTCAGACAGGGCCAGGTCATACCCATTGACATGGGACTGGCCGATCAGCCCAAGCCCCTCCCTGCCACTGCTCACTAAATCACAGAGAAAGACAGAAAATCTGCTGTCGCACTCACAGTGAGGAATGGGCAGGACATGGCACTTGCCCAGCCCCCTCTGCCATCCAGGCAGGTGTCCACAGTGGACAAGGGCTCCAGGCTAGCTTGGGGCTGTTTCTTAGCAGTCAAACCTCTCCACCTCCATCCGCTTTTTTATAATTTTTTCAGAGAAAGCATCCGTGACCAACTTACCCTATTGGAGGACATTGAACCTCACGGAGAAACTAACTTGCAGAAAGGAATTAGAAAGGTATAATCCTGTAGAACTCACAGAGTCTATTCCAGTTTCCAAGGTCTTACCATTACTGGGTTCACCTCACCGTCCATCCCCATATTTCTTCATTTCCTTGCAGGCAAATGAGCAGATTCGACAAGCCATGTCTGACGGTAAGTGCCTGCTGCCTGCATGGCGTCAGGTACGGGGCAGACCGGGGCTCAGGGAGGTCTGTGTGCGGATCCCTGTGGCTGGTGGAGCACGTGGCGCCCCCGCTCTGAGCTCCAGGCTCCTCCCTGTGCAGGGAGCGTGGCCAGCCCAGGGTGCGCTGAGAACTCCTGAGATCACACGTGTGTCTGTCCCTGGTTCTTAGCAAATAGGCGGTGTGGCCCTGCAGTTGGGCCGGGGGAGAAGAAAAGGGGGAAGCCGGGGACCCTGAGAGAACAGCCGCTTTCCCTCGAGGGCGCCTCTGTCCTTGTCCTGTCCAGTGTCCCCTCCGGCTGACTTGCACCCCATGACGGTGTCTCAGATGGTGCCAAAGGCTGCAGGGTGCAGCTGACCAGTCCCTCCGCTGTGGACCTGCGGCTCCTGTTGGGAGGGAGGCGCCTGGTGGGGAGGGTGTCGGGTAGGCGTGGGCCCTGCCGGTGTGGCTGACCTGGAGTCCTGACCCGGGCCCAGCGCTGCTGCCGGCAGGAGCAGGACCCACCCCTCGCAGCCCCCTGAGCCTGCTTTTCACAGGAGCGCCTGGCTGGCCTCCTCTGGCCACGGCCCGGCTTGCGCTTGTGGGCGGTGGCCGGGGCTGCCCTTCAGGCAGAGGGTTGCGGCGTGGCAGGTGGCCTACTGGGAAGGCCTTGAACTGCCTCTGTCCCCATCTGTAAAATGGGTCCTGGGCTGAGGCCCTTCTCACTCTGGGAGTCTCTGAGTGGCGGGTGCTCAGGTCTGGGCAGCCTCTCCCCAGGAGGATGAGGTGCGGGCAGCACCCGGCCATGTCCTGAAGTGTCAGTGCTGTGGCCCTGGCAGCCTGGGGCAGTCCTGGAGCTTCTGGAGGTCACCCTGGTGCCTTTGCCGACCAGGCCATTGCTTGCCTCCCCTGCAGACATCAAGGTGTCCAGCGTGATTATCATTTTCCTCAGTGGAAAACTGATGCCAGAAACATTTAAGGAGACGCAGGAGGAAGTGAGTGCACCCCATCATCCCCAGCCCCCTGCTGCAGTGTCCGGGTGACTTGCACTCCATGCCTTCTTTCTCTCAGCTTGCCAAGGCTCAGAGAATGGGGGCGTACATCTACTTCGTGAGTGCGAACGTGAACAACAGAGAGCAGGTAATTCAGGACAGGTAACTGGGTGCCAGTGTTGAGCCCAGGTGGGGAAAGGTGTCACAGCTTTCCCAGGGCCACCCAGAGGGTGCTCTTCTAACCTGCCCCAAGGAATTCAGGGCACTGACGGCACTGCAGAGGCACTCATAAATCCTCCCACAGCAGAGGGGAGGGTGGGAACTTCTTGCTCACTGAGAGTGGGCTGCTGGCAGGGCCAGGGGCTGGCCCTCAGAGTCTGCCACCCTACTGTTCCCATGGCATGTGGGCAAGACACTGTCTCCTGGGCCTGGGGACCTGTTGTACCCTCACCCCCTGGCTGGGGCTCCAAGCCACCTCCTCTCTCTGTAGGTGGAAGCACTTGTAGACAGCCCAGACCACAGGTTCGCATTAGGCAACGGACCCGCTGAGCGGTATGGCCTAGTGGACTTGGTGAGTGGGGCCGAAGCCAGGGGAGGGGCAGCCAGGCACCAGTGCCCGGGCTCACACTCCCTGCCCTGTGCACCCTCTTGCTGTTCTAGATCGGAACAAAGGCCTGTCTTGAGGTTCGATCTGTGGAGCCTTCCACTGTGTGCCTGGGAGGTAAGTGCAGCGGCAGCCCTGCTGCGGCCGTGCGGTGTGCAGAGGCCGTGCGGTGTGCTGCGGCCGTGCGGCGTGCAGAGGCCGTGCGGCGTGCAGAGGCCGTGCGGTATGCAGAGGCCGTGTGGCGGCGGCATCCCTGCTACGGGCCGTGCGGTGTGCAGAGGCCACGCGGCGTGCAGAGGCCGTGCGGCGTGCAGAGGCCGTGTGGCGGCGGCATCCCTGCTACGGGCCGTGCGGTGTGCAGAGGCCGTGCGGCGTGCAGAGGCCGTGTGGAGTATGTGTGGCTCTCTGAGTGCGCAGCTGTGCGGCTCTGCTGCTGTTTGGTGTTTGCATGCGCTGTGTGCTGTGTGTGCTGTGCACTGTGTGTGCTGTGGTGATATGTTTGGTGTATTTATGGTTTGTATGGGGTGTATGTTTCTGGTGTGGCATGTTTATGTGGTGTGTGTCATGTATGTGTGCTGTGTGAGAGGTGGGTGTGGTGTGGTGTGTTTCTGTGTGCATGTGGTGTGTGCATCCGCAACGTATAAACAGACAAGAGCAACCAGCAGGGCTTGTCCCAGAAGCCCAGGCTGCTGCAGGACCTGGAACGTCCCTGTCACTCACCACATCAATGACAGGGGGAGAGAAACCGGGCGCTTGTCTCAATGGGGAAGAAAACGGGTCGGGCACAGTCCAACCTCCACATCCCGCTAGGGACAGGAGGGGACCTGCACGGCCTGACAAAGGCACCACACAGGCCCCAGGGCTCACAGCCCCCAGCGGTTATGCCAGCGCCTGTCCTGAGGTCAGGAAAGTGACAAGGACACCCTCGCCAAGCTGAGGCCCCACTGGTGTGCGGAGGACGCCCTGTGTGGTGTAAGGTGGTGACATCTGTGTGCTGAGCTCTGTGGGTGCAGGCGGGGTCCCCACACTACAGGTGTTTGTATGACTGCGGCTGCCCTGGGTGTGCTTCCTTCGTGGGGACAGTGCTCAGCTGGGTGCAGCTGGGTCCAGACCAGCTGCGGGCTCTGCCTCCATGTTCCTAACTGGAAGGTGCCTTTGCACTAGGCTGTGGGGACAGACACACCATGCTCGAGTGCGAGCTCTGCGCCTGCGGGCACGCAACCTGGAGCAATTGCCTGATGCCCGCCAGCTCCAGCGGAGGCTCCTGTGAGCGGAGATGCTGCCGCCAGGTGTGTCGTGAGATGCACAGGCCGTGGGCTGTGCGGAGGCTGGCACAGGACTGGCAGCTGGTTGGGCCCGAGAAGCAGTAGCTGGTGTGATATTTCCATCTCTGCCCCTGGCTTCTGGTCCCAGTCCCCGTGCCGTGCGAAGGGTGGGGGTGGGGTAGAGGCTGCAGTGCTGGGGGGTAGAGAGACCCCCGTGCCCTGAAGGGTCTCTTCCTGCTGCTCCTGCCGTAAAGCAGCCTGGCCGTGCAGCCGGCCTGACAGCTGCAGCCGCGCATGTCCTCTGGACACACAGTCCGTGGCGTCGGAGCAGCCCTGTCACGGCCCAGGTGAGGATGTGAGTTGTCACTCCTCCCTCCCAGCAGCTGAGTCGAGGTGACAGGTGCCCTCTGTCCACCAGCTCAGCACACTGCCTCTGCCTGCGTGGCCAGCGGTCCCAGCCCTGACCTGTCAACTGATCTATGCAAAGCTGCCCCACACAGGGGGACAGTCCCGTGGAGGGAAAGCCAAGGCAGCATCCTGACCCCAAGCCAAGTAGAAGGAGCCATGCGCTCTCTCTCTCTCCATCAATCCATCTTATATTTTGACACATTTTAAAGCAGGTTCAGTGTCATCAGGCTACTTCACCCCTAAATCCTTCAGCCTGCATATGTTTAGTTAGGGGCCCTACCTTTGTTTACATTTTCTTTTAGAAATGCATAAATCTTAAGTGTGTCATCTGATGAGTTTTGACAGGGACACACAACACCTGTGCACCGCAGACCCCATGAGGGTGCAAAAGGTTACCACGATCCCCAGACCCTGTCCCAGGAGATCCTACCCATGTGCTCTGGAAGCAGCTGCCATTCTGATTTTTCTAACCATAGAAGGTTTTGCCTGTTTGGACACATCACAACAGTGGAATGGTAGAGTAGGAGGGAAGGCCTGGCTTCCCGCCCACAGGGCCCTGGCTCCAAGATCTGTGCAGGCCAGGTGTGCTGCTGCAGGCTGCAGGTGGCTGCATGGCATGCTTCCTCCTGGGTGTGACTGCCCAGAGTGGGTGTCCCACGACTCTGCCCCGCTGGGCACACCCAGTGGTGGATCACAGTAGGACACGGTACAAGGAGGCCTTTCCCTCGAGGCCTGCGTCCAGGGCATGCTGAACTGCGTGTCTGCAGCGCGGCTGGAAAACCGGCTCTGTGGAGTGGCTGGGGCAGGCAGTGCTGGGCAGGGCAGGGCAGGGCTAGACAGAGGCCCTGTGGCCTGCAGAGGCATCCCCGCAGCCGGCCTGGGTAGCCACTGTCCTGCCACTATGGTGAGGTTCCTCTTCGGTCCAATCATCATCACTTCCCTGACATAACCACCAAAAACAGTGGATAATTTATACATAGATGTCTATCTACATATTCTTGAAAAAGATATTTTTACACAAATGGGGTCATCTGGTACATAACATTTTCAACTCCCGCATAGTATAGGTTGAGATTTTTAAATTTGAAAATCTGAAATTCAAAATGTTCCAAAATTCAAAACTCTTTGAGCACAGAGCTGGTGATCAAAGGAAATGTTCACTGGAGCATTTCAGATTGCAGATTTTCAGATGTGGGTGCTGATCAAGTAAGAACAATGCAAATATCCCAAACTCCACACAAACCGGGAAAACGAAGTGCTTCTCATCCCACTCATTTCAATGAGGAATACTCTATCTGTATTCCATTACCTGGACGGACCTACTTTATTTCTTCACTCTCCCTTGGTGGATAATGAAGTTGGTTCCTGATTTGTCACTATTACTAGCCATGTTCCTGCAGGCACCTGATGTTTACCTGTCTGTGCATGTGGCTCCCTGGTTCCCTGAGTTGGAGACCAGCAGTAGAGTGGCTGCATTGAGGGCACACATGTGTTAACAGTTGGTCAGTAGTGTTGTATTTCTGTCCAAGTGGCTGTGACAAACGGCATGTTGTTGTCCCAGTCCTCACCCCTCCCCAGCCCAAGGGACTTTCTTCTGTCATTCTTGCAAGTCGGCAGCCTTCCCTTACTGCTCAGTATGGCATGGACTTCACTCCCTGGCCTCAGGGAGCACCTAAGGATTTCAGGGTGGCAAAGCCCTGGCTGAGTTTCCCTGTAGAAGGGCCAAGGCAGGTGTCTTTCACGGACTCCTTGGGTCAGGGCCCAATCAGGGAGAGGCCCCCTGAATGCTCAAGACCCAGTCACCTCCTCTTGGACCCCCAGTGACACCAGATGAAAATTTGGCCTGGCAGAAACACAGATGTTCGTTCAAGCACAGTTGCTTCCTTGTAGGCGCCCCCCAAGAATTCAGTTTTGGGGACAGACCACCATGAATAGTGAGATAAAGTGCACACAGCCCTCCACTCTTCCTCACTCAGACTTCTGAATGTTGCCCTTGCAGAATCCAAGCAAGTGGTTATTCATGGATATGGCTTTAATAATGCAAAGGAGAAGGACCAAGTTATTTGCAGATTCAAGTTCAGGAACACCAAAGTCATTGGTGAGTAGCGTTCTCCAAAATTCAAAATGTTCCAATGAGCATTTCCTTGGAGCATGACATTGACGTTCAAGTTTCAGATTTGGGATCATTCTGGATTTCTGATATTTGGACTAAGGATGCTCACTCAACCTATGGTTGCACTAAGTAAGATCACATGGGTAGAACAGTTGGTGCATGAGAGGGCGTTATAATTTTTAAATTTGTATACATTTGTGGGATGCAAGTGCAATTTTACTACGTTGACATATTGCACTGTGGTGAAGATCAGGGCGTGGCTCGCTCACTGCAGCGACGCACGCTGACACTGTGCCCCGAGCAGCTTCCCATCACCCACCCTCCCAAGCCTCCGCCCCTCTGAGTCTCCAATGCCCATGACTCCACACTCGGCTCCCATGTGTACACATTATTTAGCTCCAACTTATAAGTGAAAACATGCAGTATTTGTCTATCTGTGCCTGAGTTGTTTCACTTAAGAAAATGGCCTCCAGTTCCATTGATGTTGTGGCAAATGACAGGATTTCATCCTTTTTTAGGGCAGAATAGTGTTCCCTTGTGTATATTCCACAATTTCCTTATCTAATCCTCCATTTATGGGCAGTTAGTTTGATTCCACCTTTGCTATTGTGAATAGTACTGCTGTAAACATGTGAATGCAGTAAATTTTTGATATAATGATTTCTTTTCCTTTGAGTAGATACCCCGTAATAGAATAGTTGGATCGAATGGTAGGCCTATTTTTGCTTCTTTGAGAAATCTTCATACTGTTTTACATAGAGCTTAAAGTAATTACATTCCTCCCAACAGTGTATAAGAGCTCCCTTTCCTCCACGTTCTCACCAACCTCTGTTATTTTTGTCATTTTTAGTAATAACCATTCTGACTGGTATAAGATGGTATCTTACTATGGTTTTATTTTTTTTTCATTTTTTTATTTTAGTGTATTTTGGGGGTACAAGTGTTAAGGTTACGTATATTGCCCATGCCCCCCTGCCCCCTCGAGTCAGAGCCTCAAGCATGACCATCCCCCAAACATTGCACATCTCATAGTATATTGTGCTTGTATATGCTATTCCCCTCCTTCCCCTCCCACCTGCCTGACACCCAATAAATGTTATTCCTACATTTCCACTGAGGTGTTGATCAGTTACTACCAATTTGCTGGGGAGTACATGTGGTGCTTGTTTTTCCATTCTTGAGATACTTCACTTAGTAGAATGGGTTCCAGCTCTATCCAGGAAAATACAAGAGGTGCTATATCACCATTGTTTCTTAAAGCTGAATAGTACTCCATGGTATATATATACCACATTTTATTAAACCACTCATGAATTGATGGACACTTGGGTTGTTTCCACAACTTTGCAATTGTGAATTGTGTTGCTATAAACATTTGAGTGCAGGTGTCTTTTTCATAAAGTGACTTTTGATCTCTTGGGTAGATGCCCAGTAGTGGAATTGCTGGATCAAATGGTAGATCTACTTGTATCGCTTTAAGGTATCTCCGTATTGCTTTCCACAGAGGTTGAACTAGTTTGCAGTCCCACCAGCAGTGTAGGAGTGTTCCTATCTCTCCACATCCATGCCAGCATTTATTGTTTGGGGACTTTTTGATAAAGGACATTCTCGCTGGAGTTAAGTGATATCTCATTGTGGTTTTGATTTGCATCTTCCTGATGATTAGAGATGTTGAGCATTTTTTCATATATTTGTTGACCATTATTCTGTCTTCTTTTGAGAAGTTTCTGTTCATTTCCATTGCCCATGTTTTGATAGGGTTGTTTGATTTTTTCTTGCTGATTTTCCTGAGTTCTAAATAGATTCTAGTTATCAGCCCTTTATCAGATGTGTAGCTTGCAAAAATTTTCTGCCATTCTGGGGGTTGTCTGTTTGCTCTCTTGACAGTTTCTTTGGCTGTGCAGAAGCTTTTTAATCTGATCAGGTCCCATTTATTTATTTTTGTTTCTGCTGTGATTGGCTTTGGGGTCTTCTTCATAAATTCTTTCCCTAGGCCAATGTCTAGAAGGGTATTTCCAACATTTTCCTCTAGAATTCTAATAGTTTCACACCTAAGGTTCAAGTTACCCAGCGTGAGTTGATTTTTGTGAGAGGTGAAAGGTGTGGGTGTTGAATTGAATAAGGATTCTTTTCCCCAGTGTATGTTTTTGTCTGCTTTGTCGAAGATTAGTTGGCTATATGAGGATGGTTTTATATCTGGGTTCTCTGTTCTGTTCCACTGATCAATGTTCCTGTTCTTGTACCAGTCCCAAGCTGTTTTAATTACTATAGTCTTATAGTATAGTTTGAAGTCTGGTAAATTGATACCTCCCATTTTTTTTTATTGCCTAGGATTGCTTTTGATATACAGAGTCTTCTCTGGTTCCATAAGAAGCATAAAATTATTTTTTCTATATCTGTGATAAATGATGTTGGTATTTTAATAGGGATTGCATTGACTCTGTAGATCACTTTGGGTAGTATAGACATTTTAACAATGTTGATTCTGCCGACCCACAAGCATGGTATGGTTTTCCACCTGTTTACGTCCCTTGCTATTACCTTCCTCAAAATTCTGAATTTTTTATCTGGCATTTCAAATTTTTCTTTTTGTTTGAAATTTGTTGCCAGACAATTGTGGTCTTTGCAAGGTATCATAATTCCTTGCTTTTTCATGTTTCCTATGTCCTTTCATTGGTAGCAGTCACATCTTCAATTTTTTGAAATTGCTTTCATAGGGCAAATTTTTCCTGAAAAAATATATATGTGTGTATGTATGTGTATGTGTGTATATATAAACACATATACATATATGTGTGTGTGTGTGTGTTGTTGTTGGTTGAGTAGGACATTTCAATTTTTATTTTGGGTACCTCCCATAGTGTTATCTTTGTATGATTTCTTTGGCAGTACACAGCATCAGTGGTGTCTGTCATTTCCTCTGTGGCTTAGGGTATGGTTATTAGTTGTGATGAAGTTATTAGATGTGATGAAGTTTTGCTGGCAACTTAGACACCAACTGAGTCAGTCTTCAGGCCCCCATGGTGGCAGCAGTGGACTAAGTATGCCTGTTGGTAGGCCTCAGAGCAGCTTAGGCTGGCAACAGTGCTAGTGGGTGATAAAGGGCCCATTCTTGGGCTCCAGATGGCTGGCTCAAAAGCTAGTAGTGGGAGCAGTGTGCTGGGTATGTGGGCAGCTGGTATGATGTGGGTGATGTCAGTAGCAGTGACAGAGCAACCCCTGGGACCCAAGTAGTCCATGTTGGCATTGCTGGTAGCTGCAATGGGTTGGAGGGGTTAGTCTCCAGTCCCACAGTCTCCCATAGAAAGCTAGTGAGAATTGTACTAGGGGTGCATCAGAGTCCCTGCTCTCCCCTCTCCCTCCTTGGCATGAAGGAAGTTGCAGAAAGATAAGCCCAAATTTGGCATAGGGGCAGGGAATAGACCAGTGGTAAACTCTTAAAATGGTGCCAGCTGTGGGACTGCAACCAGAGAAGGCAGAGTCCCTCTCAGGCCAAAATTATTGGCAAGAAGCTGTGAGGAATGTGCTCTGATTAAGTTTTAGTCTCACGGCAGCCCACAGCAGGGCGGTGAGAATCATCCCAGAGGTGCCATGGAGTACCCAGTCTCCCCTCCTCCTCTTGTCATTTGGGCTGCAGATACAGTAGTGACAGACTGGGCTCAGCCCAAAGGCAGGGTGCGGCCCAGTATTCAACTCTCAAAATGGTGCTGACTGTGGGCCCATGACCAGAGATGGCAGGTCCCCTCTCAGGCAAACAGTGTAGACAAGATTATGTGGGGAGTGGGGTCCACTTGCACCTCAGTCTCACAGGATCCTGTTGCAGGGAGGCAGGTATTGTCCTAAGAATGCATAAAAGAGCCTGATTTCCCCGTCTTTCCTCAGCAAGATAGCAGCTACACCCACATCAGCCTGAACTCAGCCAGTGGGCAAGACACAGCCCTCTATTAAACTCTCAAAAGGGTGCCTTGGTCCAGTGACCAGAGAGACTGAGGCCCTTCCCAGGCAAGCAGCATGGGCAGCAAGCCATGTGGAGTGTGGTCTGCTCACATCTCAGTCTCAGCAGGAGCACACAGCAGGGTGAGGGGGACCTTCCTCGTGTGGGTGGGAGTCCCCAGCCTCCCGTCTCCCTCTTCGGAAAGTGCAGAGGCCAGCGGCTATGTCTGTACATGTGTGTCCAGGCCGTCAGGAAGGTCCCGGCTGGAGACGCTCTAGGTTTGGAGGCCTGTGGATTCCGTGCGAGTTTCCTGTTGAAGCAATGTCTCTGCACAGGCCTGCCTGCGTCAAGGGATTCTCCCGTAGCCAAGATCGTCAAAGCCCCTTGAAGTGTGGAACCCTGTGGGTTTCTCTCTCATTGTTTCCGAGTCCAGGAGTTTCTCCCAGCTTTCTTCCAGTCCTCAGGCAAGGTGCTGCGAACCCTCTCCTTAATCACTTTCGGTGCATTTTGTCACTTAGCTGATGAATCCTAACTTTCTGTTGTAGATCATGTGTTAAAAATGTATCTACTTAAAATGCTGGCTCCTGTCCGTGGAGGAGGCATATACAGCCTGCATCTAGTCAGCCTTCTTAATCCTTCTCCCATACTTAAAAAAAATCTCCTATAATTTGGCATCTGTCAGGCAGGAGGGGTGCTTCGACCACAGGGTGTGGCCTGTCCACAGTGCAGCGGCCTCGGCGCTGACGTGGGAGGGCTCCTCCCACTAGCCAGGGCACAGCTGGACTTTGGGCAGCCTCCTCACCTGGCCCTTGATACACTCATTGGATCTGATTAGATTATGTTCCATGACACCTTATTCCAGGGCCATCTGCTGAGCCCAGAATGACCCCTGTCCCCCAGGAGGCTTGTTGGCCATCTCCCCTCCTTTCCATGATGCAGAGAACGGGGCAGGGGCGTTACTGCCACATTCTCACTGGGCACAGCCGTGTGCATGGTCTCAGGGAAGTAGGTTTTCATTGGAATGTACTTTCTCGGGAGTGGCTAAGGACTGAGCAACCCCTTCCTACAGAGAGCGACGTTCACTGAGTACTTCTTACATCACTGTGCCCAGTGCCCTGCACACACCATCTCTGTGGATTCTTCATGCTCTGTATGGCAGAGAAGCAGAAGCAGGGCTGATAGAAGGGCTCGCTCGGGCCACACAGCTCCAGGGCAGAGCCAGAGAGCAGCCCAGGAGGTCTGTCTGCCCTGTCGGTTCCTCCTGCCTCCCTGAGAAGAACGTCTGGGGGAGGTGGGGCCCTGCCCACACCCAGCAAGGGTGTTCAGGTGTTTCTTCTGTGGGCCTGTGGGGTTCTGGTTTCCTGTGGGTCCCCAGTCTTTCTCTCCACGGTGGGCCAGCACAGCGCCTCCCTCAGGAGAGCCTGTGCAGCCACCCTGGCGCTCTGCGGATGGCCACTGTGCTCCCGGTGGTGCCTGGGCCAGGAGTGGCCGAGCAGGCTGCAATTGCAGGGGGCCCAGATGCTCTGATGAGGGCTGATTTTGATGTTCCTAATTACTTTCTCCTCTGATGAAAACAGGAACATTTTAGAAATAGAGAAGTGCAGTAAGACATGTAAAACTCAGGGCTTCCATGAGGTTTTTCATATGACAACTTAAGTTTTGTGCTTTGTCAGCTGATTGGCTTGAACACTCTTTCCCAGCAGCCGGCATTGCTGGGCTCTCTGCCCACCCCACGCCGGCACCCCTGCACTGCCCTGAACACCCGCCTGGGAAGTCATTTCACACCTCCTGGGGACTTTTCCACAGTTAATTTCAACCATTCTTCCCCTCAGAGGCAGATCCTTTCTCCCAATCAATTTTTGTGTCTAGTTCTCCTTATTAGCATCCGTGAAGAGGTTCGGTGGTTCAGAAATTCAAGGCTAATCTGATTATTGTGATAGGGTCAACACACTGTGCCGTGAGCAAAGGGCCCATGATGTGAGCAATAGCGCTGCCCCAGATGAGAAAGAGAAAAATAAGGGAAATTACTTTTATGTATAAAATAACATTTTTATTATAAAATTATATTTTAAGTTATAAATTATTGTAATTGTTTTAAAATATTAACTATAATTTTTATTATAAAAATTATGCCTTGTAAAAAACAGGGAAAGAGAACAAAAACATTACCCCAACCCAAGGTGAAGAGCAGTGCTGTGAGCATTCTCACACACGGCAGAATGAATTTAATTTCACTTGAATATGATGGAAGAATGAGAAATGAACTAGAATTGAAGAAACTGTGGGGCATCACAGAGATGTTTCTAGTCTCCCGAAATGAGCACCCGCCCCCCCCCTCCGCTCCCTCTGCCCGCTGCGCAGGCACAGCACTTGGCACCCTCTGCCGTGGGTTTTGCTCACTGTTTTTATTTTCTTGTCTGTCTCCCCTGCAGTCCCTAAAAGGTAAGTCCCTTGAGAGCAGGGACTCTGCCTGCCTCGCCCCTGTCAAACCCCAAGCTCTGCACAGGGCGGGGCGTCCTGGGTGCTCGGCAGGGTCTCAGCACAGAGGACGGCAGAGAGGAGAGGCCGGGACAGCCCAAAGTGTCAGCTCTGCCTGCCGGGGGCAGGCGGGGGAGGGGCGGCGGGTGGACGTGTGCGTTGACATCCTTCTCATGTCATTTCCTTCTAGATCAACGACCAATCGGTATGGGTGAGAATTCCATCATTTGCCCTGCACCAAACATAGAAAGTCATGAAGAGTGAGTGCCCCTGGTAGGGTACCTAGTGGGCAGGGAATCACGTGGTCAGCATTTGCCACCATGACATACACAGAACGTGGGATGTCCCCTCTGCTGGGGTAGCATGTGTCTCTCTGTGGGTGGACTAAGGGTACCCTCCCGACCTGCCTTCATTGGTGACTTCCAAGGAGTCAGGGACATGTGGTGTCCCAGGGTCTACTGAGGGCGGTCAGATGCAGGACATGACACACCCAAGGAATGGTACATTTGCTCCAGGTCACTTTTCAAATGGAAGCCAGCACACACTGTAAATACAGAAGGATCTGGATGATGACACCAAGCAGCCCTCCCTGGTCACATAGCCCATGGTCATGATGGCGTCAGACCTCATGTAGGGCCTCTCCCTGCATGACCCACACACCTTGGCCTTCAGTGCTGAGGTTGACCTCTTCATGCTTGGCACTGACCTCCTGTTCCCCGTGCTGTCGCTTTCTGCCCCCCCATGCTGATGTTCAGAGTCATTACAATGAGCAGAGCTGTGGCTGATGGTTTGAGCCAAGGGTACAAACTTGATCTCTCTGAGCTGGTTCTCACCATCTGCCCTTTTTGTGCTTTAGGCAGGTCTTTGTTGAAGCAAGCCTGAATGATGGCAAAAACTTCCTCTCCAATGACCTTAGTATAAAGAGCACCGGCTGTGTGAGTACTGGAAGTGGGATGGGGGCAATGTATCCACCCCCTAGGCTGTCCAGAGCCCCTGCACTAGACAGAGTTATAACCTGGAGAGGCCAGTTAGGGCAGTTGGTTCCCAGTAATCCCAAGTAGCTTGAGCACACAGGCCCCCGGAGCGGCTCCATCTGGCTTCCACCTGGAGCAGGAGTGGGGCTGGGAGGCTGGCTGCTAGGAGCCAGAGTCCAGGACCTCTAGGGCCCCTCCACGGGGCGTCCCAGGCACAGGGCATCGGGAGGAATCCACCGGCTGCAGACAGGGTGTGTGTGACTGAGTCGGTGCCCCGACTGCCAACCTGGCCCTAAGCTCACTCATGATCCCCGGGCCCCAAACCTGCCTGGTGAACACCTGGTGACCACCTGCTGTTGCTGTGCAGCTCCTTTCTGCCTCTCCTTTCTCGGGCTCCTGAGCCATCCCTCTGCTCACCCTGTGACCCCTGCAATGTGTGTGTCCCCTGCCTTGGAGGGGAAGCCGTCAGGGGTGTGGGCCGGGCTCGGCGCAGGAAGGGACTCCTGGGGACGAAGGTGCTGCTCCCAGGTGCCTGCTTGTCAGAGCTGCACGTGACTTGTGCACCTGGCTCAGGGCAGCATGACAGGAGGATGTGCCGGGGGCGGGGAGGGGGGCCTGAGCCTACTTGCACCGCCCCGTGCCCAGTCCCGGCTGGTGAGGGCCCAGCAGAGCTGACAGTCCTCCCTCTGGGTCTGCCTTCACTTGTCCCTGCACATCACGCATGATCAGCAGTCGGAGCACACATGGGCCATGGGGAGTCCAGCCGCTGGCAGCCCGCGACACCAGGCACATGTAGGCAGGACCTGGGGAGCAGCCCTGGGGCTCCAGCCCAGCCAGGGGCCCTGCCCTCAGCCTGAGGGGCCTCTCCTTCAGCAGCCTGTGCCGGCACAGGCCGTCTCCCCTCTCTCCTTGGACTCAGGGGAGGACTGGGCAGCCTGTGTTCCCACGGTGCAGCCCACGCTCCCTTTATTGGGAAGAACACTCAGGACGAAAGTTCCCGTTGCAGTTCCCCCACAGGGACCAGGCCCGAGTTAGGACTCTCTGGCCTCTCTACACCTCACACCTGCCCACCGGGGGCGCTCCTTCCCTTTGTACGGTGTGGACACTGAGGCCAGAGCCCGAGTTGTGTGCCCAAGGCGGCAGAGAGGCTCTGGGGCCATGCAGGGGTCAGCTGCCCCTGCTCATGGCCTGCACCTCTCCTGGGCCTCAGCACGCGCCCCTCACCCATCTGCGGGCTGTAGGTCCTGCGGGCCTCACCCCAGCCCTGTGCTGGCAGCCGAGCTGTGCAGCGAGGGTGGCTTTGTCAGACTGGGCAGTGTCCTGGGCCTTCTGGGCAGAGCCTTTGAGCAGAGCCAGAGGTGGGGCCTGCAGGTCTCTGGGGACCAGCCCAGCTGGGACCAGCCCAGCTCCTGCCCCACTGTGGCCCCTTGAGGTGGGGCTGTCTGGGGCCAAGGGAGTGGGGATAGATGGGGCCAAGCAAACCCTCCCCCGCTGCTGACACTTGTGCCATTTGCCAGGCATCATCCGTGGTGACATCTTTCTCCTACAGAGCGCTGGTCCCCAACGCAGTGCCAGTCTAGTCCAAGACGACGACGACGACGACTTCATCAGTGGTTCACGGCGGAAGAGTATCCTACCAATACCGGGCCTACCAATACCGGGCATACCAGGCCTACCAATACCGGGCCTTGGAGGTGATCCCGAGCCAGCTGGCCCATTGGAGGGCTTGACAAGCAACCCTTTATTCTTACCCCTGCTCCTGCTGGCCCTGCTGGGGCTCCTGCTGCTGATATGTGGGATCTGGTATCTGTGCCGCAGGAAGGTAAGTGCTCCCTGCCACCCGGCCCTGGGACCCCCAAACAGGCCCAGCCTCTGAGGAACACGAATGTGTGACAGCCCCATGATCCTGCCTTTGGGCAGGTTCCCTTTGGCTCCGAGATCATCACGTGAGCCAGGGGAGGGCAGTTTCGGTCCCTGCATTAGCAGGCCATGGAGAGCCTGGGCTTCCACCACGCCTCAGCCCCGGCTTGCCACAGATAGTGGCCTGGGACGCCCTGGACATGGGGCCAAGGCCTGCCCTGGTCCTGAGAGAAGTGACCCCAGCCCCTGGAACAGGGCTGCCTCACACAAGCCCATCTTCTGGAAGCCCCAGGTGGAACGGGCCAGGAGGGGGCTCCATGTTGAGGGAGGATGGGAGGGTCCGCATGAAGCACTGATGGCTCCAAGTGCAGAACAGGGCTGACCAGGGAGGGACGTAACCTCTGGTCCGGCTGTGCTTTAAAACCCAGCGTGGATCTTGGCCCATTTCTAGTGCCTTCCCCACGCCTTCCTCTGTCCTTACTAAGTGCCAGCTCCTCCTGGACCCCATGCAGGGCTGGGGAGGGACAGAAATGAAGCCCCCACCATTGTCACCTGCAGGGGCTCACAGTCCTGCCTCTGGTCTAACCCCCAGGGTGAAACGTCCACCATCGTATGATGTGGCCCATGCTCCACGTGAAGCAGAGCCTGAGCAAAACGGCAGACACTCGCCCGGGGTTGGTGGGGAGGCAGAGGCACTGGGAGCTGGGGTGGACAGGACCCACCCAGAGAGCTGGAGAAGACAGGGGACAGAGCACAGGGAGGGAGGGACAGGGCACGGCCACAGAGACCAAGTGGGTTTGATCTCTGCAGGGGAGCAGCAAGGAGAGAAACTGCAGGGACCAGGAGAGGGACAGTCCCTGAGGGCTGGGAGGTCAGGGACAGAGAAGTTCTCCCAGGGGAAGGGCAGTGGGCCCTGTGTCCTCCCCCCCATGTGGGCTCTGGGCTGATGAGGGGCACGTCCTGGGCTGGGTCTCTCCAGGGCCCGGGCCCATAACCTGGCTGATACCGGAGGACGCCAGGGCAGGGGTGCAGGGACTCCCCTGGGGTAAGGTGGGGCCTGCTGGCCGCAGCGCCACAGGCTCGGGCCCCGACTGACACCCGCAGTCTGGCGCCTGTCCTGCTGCTCCAGAGCAGGGTCCCGTCTGTGTGCAGGGACCAGACAGAGCCCCCCCATCTCACATCTTTCTCTTTTGAACATTCCAGAAGAAGTCTGGGCAGAGGGCAGAAAAGGTAAGTCGTGGTTCTGGTTCTGATTGTCATCTGAGGGGGGGCTGCCCTTCACGAGGAGGCTCCGTGAAGCCTGTGTCCCTGAGCTCCCACCTTCCTGGGCAAAGGAGAGGGCTGCAGAGGGGCAGGGAGTGGCCAGGGGATGGCGTGGGACTCACTGTGATGTCACCCAGACAAGGCCCTTCCGCTCCCAGCACCGCCTGTCATGAGCCTCTGTCAGGGAAAGTGCAGCCTGGGCCCCAGGTTCCGCAACTGCGGGGTCCCTGCTGCGATGCGTGGAGCTCTAGTGTGGTCCTCAAAGGGCTGTGGTGGGATGTGAGGACCCAGGTGAGCTCTGAGAAGGAGCCTCCAGTTTGGGGACCTGGTCCCAGCCCAGGCTCTGCATGGAGGCTTGGCTCCGTGAGATGCGTCTGGTCCCCGTCTCCCGGCAGGCCGAGCGCTGGCTGGGCTCAGCCTCCAGGGACTGCAGGGCTCGGGGTGGGAGGGACGCCAGCCCCAGTGAGCACAGGGACCGAGGGCAGGAGCCGGCTGTGGCTCACCCGGGCTGGGGACCCCAGGGCCGTGAGTGGCCGTGGAGGGTGGCTGAGGCAGGAGGCCCTGGCCGGGCTGCGGTGGAAACACCCTGGCTGTCTCTGCCTCTGCGTGGGCAGCGTGGGCCTGGGGACGCTGTGGCCGCAGGGGCAGAGCAGAGGGCGTGGGCAGGGACGGCCACTCAGCCTCCAGGACAGGCTTCCGCCAACGTGAGTGGCTGAGGAAGCAGGGAGGGCACAGGCCGAGCCGTTGGCGTTTAGGGGAAGAGCCGTGTGCGCAGCCCTGAGCAGTGTGCGCGTTTCTCCCGCGGAGGACGCTGCCCGTGCTGGGTGCCCCTCACTGGTGCTTTCATTCAGTGACAAGTGTCTGCTGAGGAGCTGGCCCTGTGCCAGGTGCTGCGGCCACAGACCCCACGTCCCTGCTGCCCAGAGTCTGCCAGGCAAGGAGGCAGACAGCGGTTTTTCTCCTTCTAAAAGGTGGAACTGGCGTGTGTCCCGTTAGCAACACAGCCCGTGACACCATGCCCACCGCAACCTGCCGTCTGCCCGGCCCCCACAGTGGTTGTCAGTTGCTGTGAGAACCAAGGAGTGTGCAGACTGTGCAGGACGAGAATGAGGAAGGTAAGAAGGACACTCTGGGGCTGTGACACCTAGGCTGGGGCAGAGGAGGAGGGGATGCTGGGCCAGGCCTCGGGGGCCGGGCCGGGAGGCAGCGTGCTCTGTGGGCGCTGGTGTGGCAGCTTGGCGCTGCAGGAACGCCAGAGGCCGGGCCTCCCCAGGGCGGGAGGCGGTGTGAGGCTCCTGTGCCCCAGCCCCAGGCCGGTCCTGCACAAGAAGCTGCCCCTTTGGGAGAATTCCCAGGTTTCTGGACAGTGGCAGCTGGTGACACGTGGCCAGTCCCTGGTTCTCACAGAGGTGCCATCAGTCCAGCAGTGGCTTCAGTTTGAAACCACCTGCCTGTGGTCGTCAGATGTATGAGTCAGACAAACTGAGTCACCGAGACGCTCATGCAGGTCAGGAAAATGTCAGCCTGCAACAATCTGTTTAAAGAGAGTTTATTCTGTCACAAAGTTTGAGGCTGAGCTGACCGGGAGGCACAGGCTCCAAGGCACAGACATCAGCGTTTCAAAGTGTGGCAGTTGGGGATTGTTCATAGAGACAAAGTTCAGGAATGTTTAACAGAATTTTAACATATTTTATGTAAAGCTTAATGCGTAGATACAGGTTCTGATCAGCCGAGACCCTCTTTCAGGAAAGGTGTAGTGAACATGTCACCGTGGAGGAGTAACTGGGGCCCATTTGGCCTGAGGTCTGCACAGGACAGCAGAGGAGGCCGGACTCTCTCAGGGAGGCCGTGGGCTGCTCTCCCCTCTCCTAGTCCCCTGCAGAGCAAGAGCGAGAAGGAGAGTTAAGATATCTTTTAAAAGCAGGATTGCAAACATGCTATGTGACTCAGTCTCCAGGGCTTGACTTCCCCCATGGCAAAATAAATCTAGAGGGTCTTGAAATTAATTTTTTAAAATAAAAATAAAAAGAACCAGTCCTGAGCCATGTACTTACCACCACGGAAACGCTTCATAAATGCTGGTGGCACCTTCCCACTGGAGCAGCAGGATATTTAAGCAGAGTGAGGAAAGTGCTCACGGAATGAGCCTCGTCACCTGCTGAGATGGGGTGTCAAGGGCTGCAGGGAGGAGGGTGGCGATGGAGACACAGGGCCTCACAGGCAACTGGGCAGGAGTCTGAGCCCTGGGACCCAGACGACGGGAATTCACCCCGAGGAACCCTCCTTGCCCAGGAAGTCCCCTGGCCTCCTTCGGGGACGGGGAACCACTAGGCAGCAGCCATGGGGGCCCCAGGACAGGGAGGGAGCGGCCCCTGGGGGGCTGGTGGTGACGGGGTGAGAACTCCAGACGTCCAGCCTGGCTTTGCCCTCCTCCTTCCCTGGCCTGGCTCTGACCATGGTCTCTTCTGCCGCTTCCTGCTGGGAGCCTCCAGCTCCTCGGCCACCCCAGAGGGCAGCAGGGAGGCCAGACCTGCCTCTCCCCTGAGTGTGTGGCACAGAGAAGCCAAAGCGTGCCCTCCAGTGGGAGGAAGTCTCCTGCCAGCGCCTTGTTCCTGCTTGTAGGGCACAGCCCCCCCCAGCCCCTCCAGGGCCCAGGAAGGCCACACTGCAGAGCCCTGGGCCCGAGCTGCTGCCCATGGCTGCCAGCCCGTCTGGACTCTGCTGCCTCTTCTCTCTGCCCTGGTCTCGGGGACCCGGCCCCCTAAGCAGGGCACAGTCCTTGCATCGCCTTCCCCTCGTGTGCCCCTATTACCGCCTCCTCGCCCGCCCCGACTTCCTGCCAGGGCCCGTGCCCAGTGCCCTGCAGGACCTCTGCTGGGCCTCCACACCTCACTCTACACTTTGGACTTTTCCTCTAGATCTGCCCTGGCTTCTCCTCCCCCTACACCAAAAATACGGTGTTGTGCCAGATTGCAAACCTCACTGTGACCCTGTGACCCTCAGTGACCATCCCTCAGCACACTGGCCCCCAGGGCCCCTCCCCAGGGGACCTGGAGCTCTGTCTTCCTGGGGACAGAGCTGCGGGGAGTGGGGTCCTGACGCCTCTGGGGCAGCGTCCAGGCCGCCTGGCTTCCTAATGGCCACATTGCTTTTCAGGACAATCTGGGCACCATGTGTGGCTTCGCTCAGCCCAGCTGCAACCAGGTGTCACCGATGTGGTGTCCACGCAGGTTCCAGGTGAGCCGGGCACAGGGACCCTCCCAATGGGCAGGAGGCCACTGCTTTTGCCCTTGACAGTGGCCCTCTGGGACTGTGGCTCAGAGAGCCGTGTCAGGGCACCTGCCAGGCAGGAACGCCCAGGACAGGGGGAAACGGTGCCCGTGGGTCCCCCGACCGTTTCTGGGTGAGGCACGCTGCATTTCCTTTGCTGGTCCCTGGGTGCCGAGAGTGCTGGTGGGTGTGGTTGACGGTGCGGTCTGGGCAGCACTGACCGGTTCTAGAAGGTGGTAAAGCGTCCCTCCTTGTGTCATCGCCTTGGGGCCATGGGGAGAACCGAGATTGTTACTGTACTTCTCCTGTGACCTAAAGTCAATGAGGACTGATAGTGAGGGCTGCCCCGCGGGCCAGTTGCTAGCCTAGGAGCCTTCCCTGTGTTCACTGCTTTATCCTCCCAGTGTCTGTATGAGTAGGTGCTACTGTTTATTGCCCCAGTTTGCTGAGGGGAACTGAGCACAGAGCGGTTGAGTGGTGTGTCCCAGGTCCGAAAGTCCAGGAGTCGTAGAGCTGGAGGTGAACCTCGGCTGGGCTTCTGCCCTTCATGCTTCCCCCTCATTGGATCAGCACTTGAAACCTTTTGATGGTTACCCCCACCCCCAGAGGCTGCCCTGCTCAGGCCCTGGGGCCCTGGAGAGCCAGGCTCCTGGCTGCAGCTGGGGTGTATCTGCCTGGCCTTTCCATGGTCCCACATTTTGCAGATTCCACCAGGGCCCTAGGGATAGTCTGGCCCTCAGGGTCTGTAATGAAGGCTTTACTGGCCACATTCTTGGAACAGAGGAGAGAACTGGACATTAGAGAAGATCCTCCCTGTGCCAAGGTTGGAAGCTGAGTAACTCCCACAAGGTGTGAAAAGGGGCCTTTAATCTCCCCCTGACAGAGCCACCCCAGTGAGGCCTGGCTATGGCCTGGCACATCTTGATGGTGTGTCCCAGCTCTGGGCCCAGCCAATTCTTGGTCAGAAGGTTGGTGGTGGGTGGAGTGTGCTGCTGAGCCTGTCCTGAGCTCCAAGTAGAAGTGGAAAGAAGTTGTCCCCGTGCCTCCAGGCTGAGGTCTGAGCCAGGCTCTGCTTGCTCTTGTTCTGGGATTGGCCCTAGCTCAGTGTGTGACCCGAGACAGGGAGGGACAGGGGCCTATGAGGTGAAGGAGCCCCCAAACTGTTCCAGGAGACAGAAAGAGTGGGGGGCCTGTGTCTGACTTTTGTGTTGGGGAAAGGAACTCAGTTCAAGTGCTCTGGGACTTTAGGGCTAGGGTGCTTCTTCCCAGCCTGGCTTCAGGGAAGGCAGCTTGGCAGAGACATCATCAGAACTGCGGCTAGGCTCAGAAAATGCCCTGCAAAATGGAGAGGTGAGGAGGAGGGCTCTTGAGGCAGAGGAGTGAAAGAGAGTGTTCTAGGGGCATAGCCAGGTCTTGTAGTAGCCCCCATGCTGTGGGAGCCTCAAAGAAGGGTAGTGACAAGCTCAAGAGCCTGGTGTGTGGGGTTGGGTGTAGGAATTGGATTCTCCCAACACTAGGGAGCATTACCAAAGGGTGTGAGCTGAAAAGGAAGATGGTTTGTGACAACTGGATTTTGAGGTAGGCAGGGAGATCAGGGAAACATAATTCAGTCAGACTAAGAAGGGAGGCTGAAATCCTGAACAGTCAGAAAGAATCCAGGTGGGTGAGAATGAGGGTGGATGGGAGCCTGCCGACACAGATGGCTCTGAACAGAGTCTGAGAGAGCACAAGGGAAAAGTGAGCATCATCCTAAGGTAGGGGCCAGTAGGACAGGGCAAGAGAGGGCAGGTGCCAGGGCTGGAGTCTAGAGGGAAGAAGGGTCACTCTCATTAAAAGAGAGAGTCCCAGTAAGAGAAAGCAGCATTCAGGGCCCATTTTTACTGACCTGTCTACATCCTGGCATCCTCTCTAGGGTTGGGACAATGTCATGTACATAATAATTGTTTTTAGGTTTGGCTTCAGTTTCATTTTATTTTATTTATTTTTTTAGAAACTGTGCTATAATATTAAATTTTTAAATAAAAAATAATTGTTCCTATTCATTGGAGTAAAGAGAATAAAGAAGAACAAAGAAAACAAGAAAGAATGAAGAGACCATACAGGATGTAAGGAACAACATTAAGTGAACAAATATTTGTATTATGGGCATTCCTGAAAAAGAAAAGAAGGGAAAAGGTGAGGAAAAATATATTAAATGAAATTATAGCAGAAAAATTCGCAAGTATTGAGAGCAAGAGATGGATATCAGGTTGAGGAAGCCCATAGAATCTGAAAAGTATTCAACTGAAACAGGTCATCCTATTTATATGGTCAAAAGCCAAGGACAAAGAAAATATTCTAAAAGCAGCAAGAGAATAGCGTCAAGCTACATATAAGGGAATCCCTATTAGACTAACATTGGATTTCTCAGCAGAAACCTTACAGGCCAGGAGAGAAGGGGGTGATATATTCAAAGTAGTAGTGAAAAAAAAAAAACTGTCAGCCAAGAATATTATACCCAGGAAAATTATCCTTCAGAAATAAAGAAGAAATAAAGTGTTTGTTTTTTTTTACAGACAGGCAAAAACTGAAGGAATTCATCACCATAAGACAGGCCTTATAAGAAATGCTCAAGGTAGTCTTTCATCTGGAAGTGAAAGATGATAAACACCATCACAAAAACATGGAAACTTTAAAACTCCCTGGGAAGCCAATATACAAATGAGAAAGAGAAAGGAACCAAACTTTATCACTACAGAAAACCACCCAACCACAAATATAATATACAATGAGAGGAACTGAAAAACAAAGAATACACAAAACAACCAGAAAGCAATCAATAAAATGACAAGAGTAAGTCTTCACCTATCAATAATAACCTTGAATGTAAATGAATTAAATTCCCCATTTAAAAGATATAGACTGGTTGAATGACTAAAGAAACAAGACCTAACTATATGCCACATACAAGAAACTCTCTTTATCTGTAAAGATATATAAAGACTGAAAGTGAAGGGATGGAAAAAGATATTCTATGAAAATGGGAACCAAAAGTGAGCAAGAGTAGCTGTACTTATACCAAAAAAATACATTTCAAGTCAAAAGCTGTAAAAAGAGACAATGAAGGACATTATATACATAAAGGGATCAATTAAGCAGGAGAATATGACAATTGTAAATATATATGCACCCAACACCAGAGCACCCAGATATATAAAGCAAGTGTTATTATATCTAAAGGGAGAAATATATCCCAATACAATAATAGTTGGGGACTTCAACACCTCACTGTTGCCATTGGACAGATTATCTAGACAGAAATTCAATAAAGAAATGTTGGATTTAAACTGCACCATACCAAATTGACCTACCAAACATTTACAGAACATTTCACTAAACAGATTCAAAATACATATTCTTTTCATTAGCACATGGAATACACTACAGGATTGACCATAAGTAGGACACAAAACAAGTCTCAAAATATTTTTAAAAATTGAAATCATATCAAGTATCTTATCTGACCACAATGGAATAAAAGTAGACAACAATAGCAAGAGAAGCATTTGAAATGATACAAATACAAGGAAATTAAACAATATGCTCCTGCACAGCAAATAGGTGAAGGAAGAAGTTAAAAAGAAAATTTTAAAGATTCATGATACATATGAAAATAGAAACACAATATACCAAAAGCTATGGGGCACAGCAAAAGAAGTATTAGGAGATAAGCAATATTTATAGCAATAAATGTCTACATAAAAAACTAGAAATTTTCAAATAAACAACATAATGATGCACCTCAAGAAACTAGAAAACAAGAACAAACCAAACCTAAAATTAGTAGAAGGAATGAAATAATAAAGATCAGAGCACAAATAAACAAAATTGAGATAAAAAACATCAATGAGAAAAGTTGGTTTTTTGAAAAGATAAAAACTAACTAGACTAAGAAAAAAAAAAGACAGAGAGAGAACCCAAATGAATAAAATAAAAAAAAAAGAGATGTCACAACAGATACCAGAGAAATACAAAGGATCATTAGAGACTACTAGGAGCAACTATATACCAATAAATTAAAAAACCTAAAGGAAATGAATAAATTCCTTGACACATACTCCCTACCAAGATTGACACAAAAAGAAATAGAAAAACAAACAGAACAGTAAAGAGTAACAAGATTGAATCAGTAATAAAAAAATCCCCCAACAAAGAAAAGTTCAGGACCAGATAGCTTCCCCACTGAATTCTACCAAACTTTTAAAGAAGAATTAGTACTAATTCTTCTCAAAGTATTCCAAAAAATTGAAGCACAGGGAACTGTTTCTAACTAAATGTATGTTGTCAGGATAATCCTGGTTCCAAACCCAGACAAGGACACAACAAAAAAAGAAAACTATAGACCAATATCCCTAATCAATGTAATTGCAAAAAATTTCAACAAAATACTAGAAAACTGAACCCAACAACACTTCCAAAATATAATATATGAATACCATGATCTAGTGGGATTTATCCTAGGAATGCAAGGATGGTTTAACATATGCAAATTAATAAATGTTATATACCATATCAATAGAATGACGAACAAAACCATATGATCATCTCACTAGATGCAGAAAAAATATCTGATAAAATTCAAAATTCCTTCAGGATAACAAAAAAGCTCTCAGTGAGTTAGGTATAGTAGGAAAATATTTCAACATAATAAAGCCATATATGACAAACCCACAACTAACATCCTACTGAACAGGGGAAAGCTTTTCCTCTAAGAACTGGAACAAGACAAGGATACCTACTCTTACTACTATTATTCAACATAGTCCTGGAAGTCCTAGCCAAAGCAATTAAGCAAAAGAAAAAAATAAAGATAACCAAATTGAAAAGGAGGAAATCAGATTGTCCTTCTTTGTTGATGACATGATCTTACATATAGAAAAATGTAAAGACTCTACAAAAAAACTCTTAGAACTGGTAAGCAAATTCAG